CTAGATCATTCTCCGCTGAAACCGAGGCGAGCGACGCTAGTGACCGATCCTGAGGAGCCACTATAAGGTCTCGTCCTTGTTGAGCTCCACGGTAGATTGAATCTATGATGGAGATCAGTTCCTTCCAAAGCCCAAAAGAAGTGGTGATGGCAAAGAGATCGCCTTTTCCTGTGTGTGTTTATCTATTTTATTTCTTGTTTCCAATGAAAAAAAATACTGTAAAATCGATGTTAAGTTGTGGTCCTTTTCCTCACCCATGGGCCAGGTGATCTTGTAGCGCTCCTCAGTTAAAGGACAAATATACAGATACATGTTACTGTACTACTGTACATGTATTTATTTATTATAAATATAAACTGAATTGTTATCACAGCGAAGTACGTATACAGAAACAGAAACGTATCAAAGCAGCTCTAGTCAGTTGAGATTCTCCAAGTCCCAACTCGAGCTGCAGGTGTCTGCCTGCAGAACTCACACTCAAGACTCAAGACAATGTGTTTGCTGCAATGACTATGTAGTATTCGGCTTGAGCTGAAAGTAGCACACAAATCGAATCGGACCATATCGTGAAACTCGGCCTTTGAAAAAGAACATCAGAGTACATGGATCATACAGTTCCTTGGTCTGACAACTACAGCAACAGCAGAGGTGCAGCAGTCGAACAATATGGAAAAATGAAGCAAAAGTAACCGCATTGGCCACAATTTGCGCTCATTGGAACTCACAATTTGCGCTCATGAACTCAGGCAACTAAAAGCACTTCGCCGCCACGCATACAAAACACATTGAAACACGCAGATATACAAAGCAAATGTTCAAAACACGTCTAAGGCAGCGCTGTCAGACGGACCGTATCTCTTTCGTGCCATCTTTCCTTCTTCAATCTTGCTGGTATTGCATCCAGGGTACATATTGCTGAGTGAACTCTGGCACTTCGCTGATGTCGACGAGAAAAATGTCACATTTGGCCTGCCAGGACACATTGAACAATTCTGAAGCTCTGAGAATGTGCCATCTGTGCCTTGTGAATTTCCAGAAATTTCCGAATCAATGCCACTCAATATTCGCGTTCCTATACATGTACTGTACTATTAGTATACTATCATGTACTTGTATAGTTAATCAATATGGGCAAGGGCTTCTACAACACTGCCTTCACAATGTCGGAGATAGCCAGCAAAACATCATCCATCAGCTTGCAATCTGGATCGTAGTCTTGACCAAAACGGAGCAAGATCACCTGATGGAATCAAATGGTTTGCGGTGTTTCTAAATGGCTTCATCCAAATTGAAGAAATTGAAGGAGGTTAAAAACAACAACATCACGTTGCGACAGGACGACTGTTGAGAAAGTTTGAAGACAAGATGCTCGCGACTCATCGTCGTTGGTCACTGCTTTTTCCACTTGCCATGCAGCATGCAAGTGCTGCAAGCCATGAGCCATGTTCTTGGAGTGAATCTGAACAGAGATACACCTGGACTTTGCTGATTAAGATGTAATCAAAATGACATGTAAATGCGTGGCTTGGTAATTTTGAATTCTGATGGCACTCCATCCGTCTCACTTCTTGCAGTATAGTCGCTGTTTGGTACTAGAGTTTGAGCCTCTATTCAGCAGCAAACATATATCTAGGTCATGGATATGCAAAGTGATTGCGCAACTGCCAAGCTTCCCACCTCTTTGACTAAGTCGTTTTTTCACAGTATGACATGCACCCAAGATGGCATGCAAGTGGGAACGACCTGGCACTGCGACATTTTAATGAAGTTGGAAGTCTATATAAACCGAGTTGCAAGAACAGCAGGAAAAGGCAAAAGTGGCAACAAGCAGGCAGCTTGCTGAAGAAGTGCTGATATGATTTGAAGATATTTGAAGCCGGAACCGAATGAGAAAACACCAAAGGTCTCCACAATCAAGTCTTGCTTCCTAGAGCACCCTCACATGATAAGAAAAGCACACTATGCCCTATGCCATTGACGACCCAGCACTCAAATGCAGCCAAGTTCACCCTTCACAAATTCTGCAAAAGAAATTGTACCTGTTGCGAGTCCGTGCAAGTTGGAGAGGGTAGTCTGGGCGCCACAACATGCTTTTTGGACTTTTTGGAATATGTTCTCACTGCAAAGGGGCAAAGGGTTCTGGCTTCACTTCGAGAGCTAGATGTGATATGAAAATTCCTTCCCTTGGCATCAAATGGCCTGAGAGATCTGTGTCCAAACTCAGAAAGAGGTCTTCCAGCGACTCTGTCTGCAGCGTCCGCAGCCTGGAAAGGGTCCAAATTTGACGGTCATCGAGACATGGGCTACGCCAGGAAACATAATTGCAAGACTAGGCCACGCGCTCTTGGACAGGAATACTTGTTGCCAAAGACACCTCCAAACACAAAAACTGCACGACTCAAGTAAGGCTGTTTCTTTGCATCGCTAGAACTGCAAACTGCAACGCTTACCTTCCGGAGGAAGCGTGAATTTGTCTTGAACGCTGTCACGAACCTGTAACAAAATGGGAATGCAAGAGAAGTGAAGATCCGAGTCGCACCATCTTCCTAATCGCAGCTTCTGCGTGATTAAGCTGCAACCAAGCAACTCCATAAAATCGAATTCACCATTCCAATCCTCGTCACTGTTCCCGCAGCCAACTCTAGCTTCACAGGCAGGAGTAAATGCATGAGACATGGACCAGGGCTAGAGCTTGCGCGGACGGAAAAGGAATGTCAGATGTATTCTTAGCCAAGGATCTGCATCACCTTCATTCAACGCAGCCTTGGGTCAGATCACAAAACATCAACAGCACTTTGAAGAAAAGCATTCAAGTTCAAAGCTTTAACAGTAGTGGCCGTCCAATTTATTGCAGACGGCAAGAGAAAACTGATTCAAAAAGTCCTGCAGATTGCTTTCAAAAGGAGGTTGGCTTTACCTGCTCTTTCACACACTTAACCCACTTTTCAGCACCTCGGCATGCTCTCTCACGGCGTCCATTGCTTCCTGCTCCTCTGTTTTCCGCTCGTAGTACGAAGACATGCCTCAAAAGCTCTTTGGTGTGTGCTGTGGTCAGCGAGGGATCACTTGAGGGTTACACGATGTTACGAGAATATACAAGAATTGGGAGTGGTTGGAGTGGTGGCGCAGGAGAGGCGTCCATGGTGTGCCCCAGTGTGCCCCCTATGAGCCCCCGCCCTTAATCATAGCGGATATTTGCTTTAAAAATCTTTAAAAGAGCCTTTTTAACTTTAAACCGGAACAACAGATAGCCGGTCGCTTGATAGCACTGCGCGGCAAGCATGAAATGCATTGAAAACCAGAAATATCATGAAACATCCATGGTTTCAAGATGTGCCAATTAAATACCGTACGATATTTTTGCGCAAGTGATATGCTCCCACTTGCAGTGCACTAGTGATGGCCAAGGAGTGTCCCCACATTTACAAAGGCCTTTACAAAATGAACAGAATGTCGCAGAATGCGCAGAATGTCTGGCTGGATCTATCTTGCCAATTCAATGCTGCTAAGAGTCGGATTTGCACCAAAGCTTCAACCCATTCTTCCAGAGAGATAGTGCCAGAGGAATCCAGATCCTTGTCACTCAGTATTCTCAACATGTTTAACCTTTTGAGATTGCACACGTAATTGGACCACGACCTAGTGCTCGCAGGAAAGCTGTCCGATCTACGTTGAGAAGGGACAAACCTTTGGGCACAAAACACACAAAACATAGTAGTCACAGTATGTCACAGTCGTTTATCAGCCCACTCGCATCTGTACCTTCAAAGCCCTTCTTTCAGACAGGCATCGACTTGTTTGAAAAGATCCAGCAAACTGACGGCCTTGGACATGGCCCAGGTCTCACGAAAACTACAGAATCTATCCAGATCTACCGCCGTGTCGTCCAGGAAACGCCAGAATCAAACTTCCAACATGTGCAGCTCTCTTCCACCCTTTTCGGTCCTTAATTTAAATTAATTTAAGACATCCAAGGTGCAGAAAGTGATTCAAAAAAGGTGACTGGCAGCCTCGGATGGAAGCCATGGCGGAAACAAAATTTGAGTCTGACAGAGCCTTCACGTGGACACTTGTGGACCCCTGACAATTGCTCACCAAAAGACTCGGTTGCTGCAGATATCCGTTGCAACTGATCCATGTCGGAGAGCGCTTCGATGAAATCCTTCAGAGAGGTTGAGCACACCAAGTCCATCAGCTGACAGCTCAGGAAGCCGCAGCAGAACTCTGAATGGACCGCGTAGTCAATCACGTAATTCGATTTATAATTAGATTTACTCAAGTTCATCTCAAATTGTACCTCAATTTGCTACGCAGACTGGTCGTAGAGGCAGGTGTGAGCCTCGAGGCTCAGCTGGTCTTTCCCCTTTTTGCCGGCTTTGTCAAAGGCATCTTTGGCACGCTTGACAGAATCCGCCAGCACATATTGTTCTTCGTCACGGGCAGCCTGCAAGAAGATTTCAACATATTTCAAACAGAATCTCCGTGACACGAAAAATATGTGTACCTCCAAAAACAACACCCTATCTTTACACCTCTCACACGTTCTGCCAGCATATGCTGCCCAAGAGGGTATAAATTGGGGCTCTCACATGTAATTTGTATACATGTGCATTACATTTGCATTACATTTGCATTACATTTGCATCATTACACAGAAATATTCCGCCTTTCCACAGAAACTGCAAACCTGGAGGAAATTGGAGGAACGAGTGCAGAGGATTTGGCGAATCGGCCAGCCTGGGCCTGCAAAGCTTTGATCCGATAGCGCATTTGATAGACGCCTCACCAAGCAACAAGCATCAGCAAGAAGCATTTCATTACAACATATTGCAACTGTATATCATATATTGTAGTCATTGTAGTGTTTGTTTATATATACATATATATATATGACTGTGCAAGTGCGAATTGAATTCTCATTTCAAACTGATTCCTTCTTTCCATCCACGGTTTAGTTTTGTTCCTCTCTGCAAAATCAAAAATTGAAGTGCCTTGGATAAAGTTGTCAAATGAGATCTTGCCAGTGCTGTCGGTGTCCCACTGGACCTAAGTTACACGGCGTGAAATTTCAATGCCTAAGCGCTTCAGCAGGCTCTTCAGCAAGCGTTAAAAATCAAGAAGCAAACTGTTCAAACAATTCATGCAAAAAATGCAAATAGTATATATATATGTATATATATATGTATATATATATATATGTATATATATATATATTATGTATGTTCACTTTTAAGAAAGGCGAGATACGAAAACCTCGAGCAGCTCCTGTCTCGCGAAATGCTTCCAAGATCTTTGTTGAGAGGATCTCTACATTGAGCCCCCACAGCTCCCACAGCTTGGAAATGCCAAAGCAAACCAAATGATCCAAATGCTAAAGTTTTCGCAAAGTTTCTAAAGCTTAGCAAACTGCATTTCCAAAGCTCCTCGGCAGGAATGGACCGCAAGATCTGCTCTTCAAAGCCTGTGACCAGAGCCACCTTGCGCACCTGATTCAAAGGGAGTCCAAGTACGTGAGCACAATTGCATAGGAAAAAGATCGAAAAAGCATAGGCTAGGGTTTCCAAAGAGTGAAAAGGTTGCAGTGAGAGGCCTTGTGGTCATGCCATGAACGGAACTTGCAAAGTCATGCAGATTCTGCGAATGAGGTCTGTGTGATACCAGTTCTGGGAGAGAACATGAGGTAGATACCAGCCTTTCTGCGAGTGATGGCACGACAGCATGGCAAAGTCGCCAACCCACCGGTTGCAAAGCTTACTGTGGCGGCAGAGTCACTTAATGCAGCAGGTGCCGGACTCAAAAAGTCCGACGCACAGCACATCTAAACTAATCTAAACTGATCCAGGAAAACATCTTGGTTTGCAAGCAAGTGTCTAAATATGGATTGGTCATGAACGCCTGCACAAACTGCGCCACCGGCAAGTTCATGCCTGCGCAAAATGGTCGGGAATGCTGTACACTGTACACAGCTCAACCAACAGAAAACACAGAAACCTCATGATGTACGGCTTCGTCTCCCTTCATTGCTTCAATGCGGAAAAGCACTAGGAAATCGAAAATGGTAGGGTGGACAGTTCTGCAAAGTCGTTCTATCTGATAAGACCTGGACGATTGTTGAACCAAATAGACGGACAATCCATGTCAAGTGAACTGCCAAGAATCTTGGAAGAGTATCTAAAGTTCTTTCAAGATTCTACGAGTACCTTTCAAAACATGTGAAATATGTCAAAACCATCAAACCAGGTGAAAACATGTGAAAACCATCTGATAGAAAATTGTATCAAATTGTATGGTATTTCACTTCGTGCTCAGCTTTGGCGCCTTCAAGCCCTTCGAAGTTCTCCGCGATGATTTTTGTTTCCGCCATGGCCTAGTTCTGAAGGTGCTCTACGTGTCTCCAATGCAATATACCGCTGTTTCATGGTGATTCCAGAAATGCCCATATTCCAATCATTTCCAATCTCTGAGTCTGGGGCGAAGAGCTGACCAGCGATGAGCTGTCTCTCAATATTCCAAACGCGGAATTCTAAGAAATCTAAACACATGTGCATGTTCGAGATCTTGGAGGCTTGCCAAACGGCCTAAAGCCAGGGTGGGTAGCATGTTATCCTGTCGTGCCTGTTGGTGACTCTTTATCGCTGTCCCTTGATACATGCCATATGAGCTAAATGCCAGTGGATCAAACCCTTCTCCTTGACAGTCCAGCAGATCCCCACGCAGGTTTGCAAGGCAAATCGATTGTAAAGCTACCAGGCAAGACAATTGCAAACTATACAGTAAAGACATGGGAAAATTCTCTGAACTGAAGGAAATTTAATCCCCTTAAAGACCTGCTACTCCTTGTTGCATAACCGACGACTGAGGTCCAGTGCAGATAGGAACAGGACGCACAGCATAGGTGCGAAGCATACGCCCATCACGGAAGACTGCATGCATGCAATCCAAACTTGCATTTGGAGGTTGATGAAGGTTGTTCTATTTGTTCTTTCATAGAACTTTGTGAAAGTCGGTGTGCAAATTTGACAAAGTCGCAAATGAATTTCAGGCTCCGAACGGCAGAACACTGTGGAGCAAGTCACAGTGGCCTCCAGGGCCTTTTCCAAAGGTCCAGCACTACCATTTTGTGCCTTCAAGTACCAGCCAAATGCTGGTGTTTCGTCACTGTGTCTGTATATATATATAATATTCAATTATATTCATATATTCTATTAACACGTCTGTCTGCAAGCTTGTCTTTGTGCTTTGCGATTTCAAGACGCTTTGCACTTGAGCCTGGTTGAATACCCGGACAACTGCTAAAACAGCCTCAGCAAACGTACTTCAAACTCAGTGAAAAATGCATAAAAATGCTGCTTCTCGGGCATTTAGTGACTTTGAACGGACGGAAACAACGGTAGACCTTCACCGCTGTGCAAGGCTACTATCTAGTGATGTTGGTTGTCAAATGGACTTGCTGGACAGCGACAGGCCTTAACCACTGACATTAGACAAATGCCGCAAAATGCCACATCTATATATATATATATTATATATCCGCCGACCCCTGCCTAGCCTTGGCCCAGGCGGGGCGGCGCCCGGGATCACCGCAGGTGTGCGGCTTTGGCCTGCTAGGACCTCGGCCTGCACGGTCAACCAGACTCCAAACCCTTTGCCACTGCCTTCCCAGGTCACCGCGAACACGTTGCCCTGCAGCGGCAGCCCTTTGCCAGCGCCTGGCCATGTTGCCATACTCCATTTAAAACGAGCGCGAAGCACGGCCCATCACGACACAGAACCCGTCTGTGGGCCTTTACCGCTTTGCCACTGCCTTCCCAGGTCACCGCGAGCACGTTGCCCTGCAGCGGCAGTCCTTTGCCAGCGCCTGGCCATGTCGCCATACTACATTTCGAGGGTTTCCAAACGTGCGCGAAGCACGGTTCATCACGACACAAAACCCCTCTGTGGGCCTTTACCGCTTTGCCGCTGCCTTCCCAGGTCACCGTGAACACGTTGCCATGCAGCGGCGCGTGGCCACGTCGCCATACTCCATTTAGAGGGTTTCGGGGGCCCGGGGTGACAAAACCTGCGCGAAGCACAGTCCATCAGGACACAAAACGCCTCTGTGGCCCTTTCCCGCTTTGCCACTGCCTTCCCAGGTCACCGCGAACACGTTGCCCTGCAGCGGCAGTCCTTTGCCAGCGCCTGGCCATGTCGCCATACTCCATTTTGAGGGTTTAGAGGGTGATAAAACCTGCGCGAAGCACGGTCCGTCAGGACACAAGACCTCTCTGTGGGCCTTTACCGCTTTGCCACTGCCTTCCCAGGTCACCACGAACACGTTGCCCTGCAGCGGCAGTCCTTTGCCAGCGCGTGGCCATGTCGCCATACTCTATAGGGCTTAGGGGGTGACAAAACCTGCGCGAAGCACGGTTCATCACGACACACAACCCCTCTGTGGGCCTTTACCGCTTTGCCGCTGCCTTCCCACGTCACCGCGAACACGTTGCCCTGCACCGGCAGCCCTTTGCCAGCGCCTGGCCATGTCGCCATACTCCATTTAGAGGTTTCAAAACGTCTGCGAAGCATGGCCCATCACGACACAAAACCCGTCTGTGGGCCTTTACCGCTTTGCCACTGCCTTTCCAGGTCACCGCACACACACACACACACACGTTGCCCTGCAGCAGCAGCCCTGTGCCAGTGCCTGGCCATGTCGCCATAATCCATTTACCGCCTTGCCACTGCTTCCCCGGTCTCCACGAACACGTTGCCCTGCAGCGGCAGCCGTTTGCCAGCGCCTGGCCATGTCGCCATACTCCATTTAGAGGGTTTCAAAACGTGCGCGAAGCACGGTTCATCACGACACAAAACCCCTCTGTGGGCCTTTACCGCTTTGCCGCTGCCTTCCCACGTCACCGCGAACACGTTGCCATGCAGCGGCAGCCCTTTGCCAGCGTCTGGCCATGTCGCCATACTCTATAGGGTTTAGGGGGTGACAAAACCTGCGCGAAGCACGGTCCATGAGGACACAAGACCCCTCTGTGGGCCTTTACCGCTTTGCCACTGCCTTCCCAGGTCACCGCGAACACGTTGCCCTGCAGCGGCAGTCCTTTGCCATGACCTGGCCATGTCGCCATACTCCATTTAGAGGGTTTCAAAACGTGCGCGAAGCACGGCCCATCACGACACAAAACCCGTCTGTGGGCCTTTACCGCTTTGCCACTGCCTTCCCACGTCACCGCGAACACGTTGCCCTGCACCGGCAGCCCTTTGCCAGCGCCTGGCCATGTCGCCATACTCCATTTAGAGGGTTTCAAAACGTGTGCGAAGCACGGCCCATCACGACACAAAACCCCTCTGTGGGCCTTTACCGCTTTGCCACTGCCTTCCCAGGTCACCGCACACACACACACACGTTGCCCTGCAGCGGCAGCCCTGTGCCAGTGCCTGGCCATGTCGCCATAATCCATTTACCGCCTTGCCACTGCTTCCCCGGTCTCCACGAACACGTTGCCCTGCAGCGGCAGCCCTTTGCCAGCGCCTGGCCATGTCGCCATACTCCCCCTTTAGAGGGTGTCAAAACGTGTGCGAAGCACGGCCCATCACGACACAAAACCCCTCTGTGGGCCTTTACCGCTTTGCCAGGTCACCGCACACACGTTGCCCTGCAGCGGCGCCCTGTGCTACTGCCTGGCCATGTCGCCATAATTTATTTACCGCCTGGCCACTGCTTTCCCTGTTCACCGCCAGCGCCTGGCCTTTACCGCTTTGCCACTGCCGCCTGGCCAGTCGCCATACTCCATTTAGAGGGTTTAGAGGGTGACAAAACCTGCGGGAAGCACGGTACATCAGGACACAAGACCCCTCTGTGGGCCTTTACCGCTTTGCCACTGCCTTCCCAGGTCACCGCGAACACGTTGCCCTGCAGCGGCAGTCCTTTGCCATGACCTGGCCATGTCGCCATACTCCATTTAGAGGGTTTCAAACGTGCGCGAAGCACGGCCCATCACGACACAAAACCCGTCTGTGGGCCTTTACCGCTTTGCCACTGCCTTCCCAGGTCACCGCGAGCACGTTGCCCTGCAGCGGCACCCTGTGCCACTGCCTGGCCACGTCGCCATATTTTATTTACCGCCTCCGCGAACACGTTGCCCTGCAGCGGCAGCCCTTTGCCACTGCCTTCCCAGGTCACCGCGAACATGTTGCCCTGCAGCGGCAGTCCTTTGTCAGCGCGTGGCCATGTCGCCATACTCCATTTCGAAGGTTTCAAAACGTGCGCGAAGCACGGTTCATCACGACACAAAACCCTCTGTGGGCCTTTACCGCTTTGCCGCTGCCTTCCCAGGTCACCGCGTACACGTTGCCCTGCAGCGGCAGCCCTTTGCCACCGCCTGGCTAGTCGCCATACTCCATTTAGAGGGTTTAGAGGGTAACAAAACGTATGCGAAGCACGGTCCATCAGGACACAAGACCCTTCTGTGGGCCTTTACCGCTTTGCCACTGCCTTCCCAGGTCACCGCGAACACGTTGCCCTGCACCGGCAGCCCTTTGCCAGCGCCTGGCCATGTCGCCATACTCCATTTAGAGGGTTTCAAGACGTGTGCGAAGCACGGCCCATCACGACTGTGGGCCTTTACCGCTTTGCCACTGCCTTCCCAGGTCACCGCACACACACACACACGTTGCCCTGCAGCGGCAGCCCTGTGCCAGTGCCTGGCCATGTCGCCATAATCCATTTACCGCCTTGCCACTGCTTCCCCGGTCTCCACGAACACGTTGCCCTGCAGCGGCAGCCCTTTGCCAGCGCCTCACCATGTCGCCATACTCCCCCTTTAGAGGGTTTCAAAACGTGCGCGAAGCACGGCCCATCACGACACAAAACCCGTCTGTGGGCCTTTACCGCTTTGCCACTGCCTTCCCACGTCACCGCGAGCACGTTGCCCTGCAGCGGCAGCCCTGTGCCAGCGCCTGGCCACAGTCGCCATAATCCATTTATATAGAGGGTTTCAAAACGTGTGCGAAGCACGGTCCATCAGGACACAAAACCACTCTGTGGGCCTTTGCCAGCGCGTGGCCATATCGCCATACTCCATTTAGAGGGCTTAGGGGGTGACAAAACCTGTGCGAAGCACAGTCCATGAGGACACAAAACCCCTCTATGGCCGTTTACCGCTTTGCCGCTGCCTTTCCACGTCACCGCGAACACGTTGCCCTGCAGCGGCAGCCCTTTGCCAGAGCCTGGCTAGTCGCCATACTCCATTTAGAGGGTTTAGAGGGTGACAAAACCTGCGCGAAGCACCGTCCATCAGGACACAAGACCCCTCTGTGGGCTTTTACCGCTTTGCCACTGCCTTCCCAGGTCACCGCGAACACGTTGCCCTGCAGCGGCAGCCCTTTGCCAGCGCCTGGCCATGTCGCCATACTCCATTTAGAGGATTTCAAAACGTGCGCGAAGCACGGCCCATCACGACACAGAACCCGTCTGTGGGCCTTTACCGCTTTGCCACTGCCTTCCCAGGTCACCGCGAGCACGTTGCCCTGCAGCGGCAGCCCTGTGCCAGTGCCTGGCCATGTCGCCATACTACATTTCGAGGGTTTCCAAACGTGCGCGAAGCACGGTTCATCACGACACAAAACCCCTCTGTGGGCCTTTACCGCTTTGTCGCTGCCTTACCATGCAGGTCACCCGCGAACACGTTGCCCTGCAGCGGCAGCCCTTTGCCAGCGCCCGGCTAGTCGCCATACTCCATTTAGAGGGTTTAGAAGGTGACAAAACTTGCGCGAAGCACGGTCCATCAGGACACAAGACCCCTCTGTGGGCCTTTACCGCCTTGCCACTGCTTTCTCCGGTCACCGCGAACACGTTGCCCTGCAGCGACTCTGTCCTCCGTCCTCACAGATGCAAGATGTCGGAGAGGCCTTGAAAGGGGGTTGGCGGCACGAGGGCGTTAGCCCATTTATATATTATATATATATACACACACAAAAGACAAGTTTGCAAGGCCGCCACATATGCAGCAAAGTATGCCACGGTAACGCAGGACAGTGCTAACCTCGTACGTTCGGTGATGTTTTGCAAGTGCATCGACAGAGCATTGTTCTCTTGCTGCTGGTCGTCGTGTCTGACATTACTCTTGTGTCCCTGGTCAACACTCAGTGACCCGGCAGTGATGGGCGCATCTGAGCTAGCTCTGCAGTCATGACATCTGGTGGCTCTTGGGCAAATACATTCAGAGCCTTTCACAGTGCACAGTGGGTTTCAACATGTTTCAACCCGATCAAATCATATGTGCCAAGGTCAAAACATGGTGGAAGGGGTATGGTCGTGCATCCCATAATTATGGGAATCTTTTTAATGAGTATGCTATGTGATGTGATGTGATGTTTTGTGATGTAATGACATCTACTGTAATGTAAATGGAAATGTACTGTAGTTTAATATGTTTAATTTAATGTACTCTACTGCAATGTACTGAAACGCAATGTACATATATTGTAGATTCAGTGGAATTTGTTATAGCAAAGCCTCAGGGTACAGGCAAGACATCACGGGTGCCTTCTTTCGGTTGGTGTGCCGGGCCTGGACTCCTGGAGTACAGAAGATCTTCTCTAAAATCAGTGCAGAAGGGATACATTTGGAATGCTGGAAATGCTGGAAGCACCTTGCTGCAAGAAGGAAGTAGAATCATCACCTGAAGCATGAAGATCGAGCGGAATGAGAAAAACGTGTCTCCAGCAACTTGCTTGCCGCTGTTGTGGGTTTTGCTCGAGAAAGTAATGTGACAAACCTGTTCAACTGCGCTCTCTTGCTTGGAATGCAACAAGTCCACCTGAAATGTTCTGTCCCTCACAAAGAACTGCAGCAACGACCTGGTCAGTCGAGCAATGAGCATCAACCATTCTGACGAAGCGTCTGCATTGAGCACATCCAACTTAGCCGGAAACGAGGAAAGAGATCAAAAAGACCATTATACGGAGGTACCTTGAGAACAACATCACCAAACGCTGCCATCAAGGCCCCGTGCAGTGAGATCAACAGAATGATTCATCAAGAAGATGTATTCAAGTCAACTTGGAGCGTCGCAGTTGTCAGCAAGGCTGACCCATCTCCAACTAGAAAGGAGCTGCAGTGCAACCACAAACAACAAGTTCAAGACAAATGACACACAAATAAGTCAACATACCACAATTGCCAAACGAAGTAAATCAAACAAGTGAGAAATGAGTAAATTTCAAGATTTTCAGCACTAACAAATCCATCCACCTCCCTTTTGGCATTGCAGTTCTTCTGCAATTTGCGGAGTCAACATCATTGGCCATAGCACGATGGCTTCACATGCAGGGAGATTGTAGTCAGGGTGCTCGCACATGCTTGCACTCTAGATATCGGTGGTTGAGCAATTCTCAGTGAGCTCTCACTGGAAGGCAAGCACCGCCAGCCAAATTGTCCTGTTGACGTGGAAGGGTTGCTTTAACTTGGAAGATGTTTCGTGGTCTGCGTTTTGCAAACTTTTACACTTCAACAGATATATCAAACCGCGGCTGGACCACGACACTGGGCCGATTCGTATGCGGGCGTCCATCTAGATACGTGTCTGTACGGATATGTCTGTGCTGGATGTAAAAATAACCTTTGTGTGGACGTGTATTATTATATATATATATTATATTATAGTATATTATATATTATATTATTTTATATTTTATATTATTTTATATTATATTAAAATGAACTATATTGTATTATATTTTATCATATTATATTATATACATATATATATATGTATATATATATATATATATTATATTATAGTTATATTATATACTATAATATTATATATTATATATTATATATTATATATTATATATTATATATTATATATTATATAGCATATATTTTAGATTATATATTATATACTATATATTTTATATTATATATTATATATCATTATATATCATTATATATCATTATATATCATTATATATATATCATCATATATCATCATATATCATCATATATCATCATATATCATTATATATCATTATATATCATTATAAATCTGTGTGTGTGTACATGTGCGCGTGTGTGTTGGCAAAGGTACTTGGATATCTCACGAGAGCTCTCCCAGGATACTTTGACTTGGCTGTCACCAAGTTGGTCCATGCCTGAGGACGGTGACATCGCGATGGTGAAGGCAATCGATTTGTATCAGCTTGATCTCCCAGGGACCTGTTGATGTCATGATGCCACTGTGATGCCACTTGAGTTGGGAGAGGACAAGAAGAGAGCAAAAGAGAGCAAGACATAAAGCTGACCACCCAACCTCAAGTGTCCACCAAGCAGGCTTGTAGCAGCACCTGGGTCCATTGAATCATTGACAAGGAGTTCCCCGGAAGTTGAAGACACCGCATACTTTATACCAGTTTGCAGATGTTCGAAGCAGTGCCCGATCCAGCGCCAAAGGTGGGCTTGGAGTTACCCAGTTCTTTTAGGATCGGCACACTCATGCTTTGGCCGCCTGCTCATGGATCAAGCTGTCAAACAAAAACAGTTGCCGAAAGCTTGCTTCGAGATTTCCTAGGTTTTCAAGAGCAAAAGACAAAGATGGTGCCATACTTATTTATCTAACAAACTTGTGACAACCAGCACTGCTATTGAAGCTGCCTAGGTGCAGGTTTCTCTTGTACAGGTTGAAGGCCTGAAAGTTGGTGCGAGACTGGACAGATTGGATCTGAACCCATGCCTTTCCATGCATTTCTACTACGATGTGCTTCTTGCAGAAACACAGAGTCTTCCACCGCGAAGGGTACCACCCACCAAATTGTCCTGTCGGACTGTTGGATCCCAACTGTGGACTTTCTAGTGGATCACAAGAATAGAGAAGAAAAGCAATAGAAAAGCTAATTATTGAATACACTTCTGAATAGTTGTAGTATGTTGTAGTTGTTGAATAGCGTAATTTCTCTCCGAGCAAAAGTTCTCATCGGTCCGGGACTTCAACTCGACGCTTCACTGGAGTCTGCGACCTGCAAAGCCAAAGCTGTTTAACAAGTGCAGGTCCCGTCCCGGTCCCTGCCGCTCCCTGAGTCAAGTTTTTCAAAGGCTTGTCGACTCGTCAATTCGATTCTTCTCAGCAGCCAGAAACATCAGAAACATTCTAGATTCTCAATTCGATTCTCTTAGTTCTCTTAGTTCTCTTAGTTCTCTTAGTTCTCTTGGCCAATGCAGATCCGCAAGGCCTCGGGCCCTCGCAAATCAGCGGAGCCTGAATCTAAATATGTGCAAAACATGTGCAAGATTGTGCAAGTATGCAAGTCACTGCAAGTCATGGAATTGTAAGAAAACGATAAAAAACCATCTATAAACCATCTAATTATTTGAATTTGACGCCAAATTGTGAAATTGATCTGCAGGCAAGTTGCCTGTGTAGTTGTTTCGGTGCTTGGACCAGCAAGCCTCAAGTCTAGAAGTGAAGAGAGAGAAGCTATGGGAAGCTGTCAAAATATGTGAAAATATGAATGTCGTCAAAATCAAGGCCTCAGAGCTGCAGTCTGTGCAGTTTGGGTAGTTTATGTAGCGGACAATGCTGCAACTTGCGAATCCAACGTGGGTGACGGAGAACTCCGGCGCAAACCCTGCCGTATACGATCTGCAGGCAAATTGTGATGAGGTGCGTCCTTTGTAGTGAAGCTCAACAAGAGTTCTCTGCCGAAACCAAGAAATTCGCATCTCAGAGCAAAGTGAGATTGGTCAAAATTTCGTCAAAAATGGTAAAGTGCGAAAACAAACTTCGTGAACTCCTGCCTGCGGTCGCTCTGCTTCAGGTATTGCACTGACTGCACCACTCCAAAGCAGATGATCCTGAAGATCGGAAACAAAGAAGCTAGTCTACTTTATCTGCTTAGCCTGCTTGATCTACTTTCCTTGCATTTGCATTGGAATGTAGATTGACAATGATGGAAACAGGATGAAACGGGTCAAAAGCAATCCTGGCAAACCAAGTGCCGCCGTTGAGGAGCTTCACCACGCCTGCTACCATGTCGGATGTGTGAAGACAAATGTCCTCATATACATGCTTGACATATTACGTAAATGACTGCAAACGCAGTCATCCTACTACAATGCATGGATGATGTTTGCATGCGAGCCGAAATCCACTTCAAGTTGAAACATGAGTACTCTGAACTCTGAAGTATATCAAATACATTCAAGTACAGTTTTTGGCATAGCAGGTTGTGATAGGTTGTGTACGAGCGGCAAGAAGGTGTCGAACTGTAGTGACTTTGCGAAAGCTTTTGCACAATCTTGCAAAATGCTGCACAAAATGTTGCACACAGGCTTCGGATATCTTCGGATACCTTTCCAGCCACCCTGAGCTGCTCAGGCTCGCCTTATTGTAGGCTGACCTGACCATCGAAGCTTTTCCAGGGGAATAGAGCAGAACAATCAGAACAGAGCGGAACATGCAGAACCAAGTAAATTCTCACTAAATGCTCGTAAGGCACAGTAGACTCACCATCCAATTCTGGGCACCGCAGCTCCCTTCAAGTTTTCTGCGGGGCTGGCACTGCTGGCTTTTCACCTACAGTAGGACGACGAGGATCTCCGTCGAGCTTTGTATGGCTTATTCTGGGGTCTGGCTGAGCACTTTCAACTGGTCCTGCCTGCAAGGCTCCTTGCATGTGGCATTCAGGCCCAAGCCTAGCCGAACAACAAAAAAAATTAGCAGCCAGCAACCCTTCAACATCCATGCTGTGTATCTGTTTGTCCCTAAGACAGGGGGGCAGTTGTTTCACGTGCAGTCATTACAAGAAATGCCAAGCTTGAGTCCCAAGGGCTGATGAACGAAAGCTAAGCAGGGGAAGATCGGAGCCAGTAGATCCAGACAAGATGCGAAAGGGAACAGTGGGCGAGGTCGAATGAGCGAGATGGAGTGATATATGATGTGGCGGAGTGACTTGGATGGAATAATGAGTTGGGCGGTTCCCTGGAATGAGTTGGGCACAATGGGTTGGATGGGCTAGATGGAATGACTCCTGTGGAGTGAGTTTCGACATCGAGGTAAAGGGGGTTGGGAGGGAGGAGGGGATGGCTGGATGGGGGTTCACCTGAAAAAACAATAAAAAAACACACGTTTGGCATTGGTCCGCCTCGTCCCTTGCTGAAGCAAGAAGAAACTCCAGCTGGTCAATGCTGGCTTTCGTGACAGCCACTGGCTCGGACAAAAAATGAACTCCAAAAATATCAAGAGTCTTAGGCGAGCACACATGCTTCCGCCCCTGGCAAGAACCACCAACCTGCGGTCAGGAATGTGTTGCTGCTATATCATACACTCAACACCTCTGAACACCTCTCAACACAATCAAATGTGCATAGTCTGCACCTCGCGGCCACATTCCTTGTGCTCCACAGCATCAAAGTGCCTTAACCATCTGATCCAATCTTTCTCATTGACACTCCCCCAAGATCTTCGTTTGGGCAGCAAATTAGGATCGAAATAGATGAACATGATTTCAAGAGATTCAAAAGTCTTGAAGCAGTTTGATGTGGTGGTTCACGGCATCTCAATTTCTGAAATCTTGCACGCCTCTTGGACGTAATCTCAAAAGAGCTCGTGGTTGCTCCTCTTGTACCCTGCAAGAAAAGAGTTTGAGAGGAGAGGAATGGAGAAGAAGGCTTCTCAGAAAGCCAACGAACTACTCAAAGAAAAGTGCGAAACGACCAGGTTCTCCTCCAGATTGAAAGCATTGAAATGTCTTCGAGATTGGATTGGTTCGCTATCGATTAGTGCCGCGGCTGCCTGAAGCACTCAGAGTATTTGGACGCAGAGTCTTTTTGTCTTTGACGAAACCATGTGGTGATAAACTTTGGCGAAGACCGCGTAAGAAGTCTATGTTTGTTGAGCATTTCTCGGTTGCTTGGCTCCCGGCATTCCGAACTTGCCAGCCCTGCAGAGAGTGACATATCAAGATACTTTAGACTCTAGACCATCTTTAGACCATTAGCCGAGACGCCGCTTCAGACCGTCTAAACACCAACAGCCTCCAGGATGGACTCTTGCATTGCTCGAGGAGTCGGGCCAAAAAGAAAATGCCTGGATAGTATCCAGACACATACATTCAATTCCATAGAATTTCATAGATATCAATAAGATCTTGATGGGTCTCACACATATCTGAGACCGTCTGACACCTGGCATTTCTATGCGTCTATGCAATATTATTACAATAACATCGCACTCCTTTTTGCAACTGGAAGGACTTGACAGAAACATCCTCTCTTTTTAAGCTATTTGCTTCAATCTCCCAGGAAAGCAACCTTCCATGTACCCTTTAGATTCGTCTGACCAGTTAAATGGGTTGAAGACTTGCAAAGAGAATTGTACAAGCTTCTACAGCAACTTCCAAATCGAGAACGTGCGGCAACTGCCCTTTGATTCTATCATTGCATGCAAGTCACCGTCGTCCCATGGCTTCTCTGGGCTGTGTGACTCTCCACGGGTACAGTTTGTGACTCCAACTTTGACGCTTGTTTTGAGTATGTTCGACTTGTCTTGTGCAAATCAATAGAGTCTATGAGAGATTTCTTCGCTACTTTTGTCGTCCTCTTTTGTCTGGCACTTGCCCGGTGAGATTGATACTATTTTGTTTTCCTTCCGCCTGTGCATTGGGAAGCATTGAGAGTCTGCACTTCACTCCATCAAAGCAGTTTTCGCTTCAATTTGCCTCAAAGGCTTCACTTGATATGCCAGGCATTAACATCTGTAGATGTCAGTGCAGAAAGCAGCTCGGATTGCGCTCTGGACACAGTTTGTTGAATTTTCGGCGGACTTACCAAAGAGATTGGGTGGAAAAAAATTCAACCTTTTCCTCGTGCGACGAGACTGTTCTATGATGTCGCGCACTGTTCTCCAATACATTATACGACTGCATCAACCGCTGTAAACCAAAGCAAGTATCCTGTATCCTACCGAAGATTGCCATGGTTCCCATCATTTCATCCGTACGTCTAACATGTTCGCTTCATCTGCTTAGCTCATTTCTGTAATTTCTGTTTAGCACTACGTTCACACTACGTTCAAGATTCCAGCGCGATCAGAAGCGCATGTGCAGTCGCTGCTCCATGATGTCGTGCAACCCCCTGACATTTCAGGACATCTCAGGACTCACAAACTCACTGCGCGTCAGAGCAATTTGCGGCAAATATTTCGCAAAGCAAATGGCTGATGTATGATGCAAATGCATTCAAATGCCTGTTATGTCACTTCTGTAGCTAAGGATACTTACACTGTCACTTCCCCACTCCCCACTCAATCCTGTCTCCATTGAAAAAAAACGAAACACCCGCAAAACACAAACATGTGACAGGATCATCCGGTCTCGGCTTGGAAATGACTCAGTATGCTCAAAAAAATTGAGGTCAGCCTGTTGGGACCAGTGAAGCGAGACATGGCAGAATTTGCCTTCAATGTCGCGCAAAAGGCCAAGATCAAATTTGTGTGTATAGAGCGCAGCGACATGTCACCAGTTTCCTCCATCAGCACTCAGGCTAATATGAGATCTGCTCATAGACCAAGACCATCCCCTGCCTCAAGATTCATGATATCTTCGAATTCGATCGTGTCATCCATGTCTAGGACGGTCTCCAGGCCCACCTTACTCCACTCACTCTCACAAAGTTTGAAATTCTGCTGAGTGTACAAAATGTCGAAAATCTGAGGGCGTACCAACGAGGAAGGCAAACCAGGCAAACGTTGGAACTGGGAGAGCAGCTCTCGCTCCTTCCGTGCTATTGCAACAAGCATTGACAAGAATTGTTATATGATCAATGTCATCAAAGAATCCCGTTGTATCTACGCTGACAGCATCCAAACAAGTGAGATGCTGCTTGATCCTTTGCATCCGCTTGCCAAAGTCATTTAAAGTATATAGATTACAGTAAAGTTGATTATGCTCATATATATATATATTATATATATTTAATATATATATCAAGACTTTTTCTGCTGAGCTGTCACCCTTTGCGCACCATCTTTGCACGGATCGGGGCATGCTGGCCATATACCTTCCAGGCATGTGCAGGGTGTAACAAACCCCCTTTACAGGTACTTCTAGGAGATACTTAAGCTCGAAATCATTCAGGTGGCCCCCGCTGCCCACCAACAATACAAGGCACCGTTTCATGCACCGTGCTGAAATTGTACTGCGATTTTTATTCACGCATTGATTCCTGTAGCTCTTTGGTCCAGGTATCAACCTCTGAAGTCTTTGCTTTCAGAGCATCCTGCATTTGCCTCAAATTGGAGCTTGCAAGATCTTCAAGCTCCGCTGCATCCAGGCAGGAGATTCTCTCCAACTCTGACAGCAAGCTACCTGGCTGCAGTTTCTGTCCTCAGTTTGGTAGCTGTTCAGAAAATTTGTGATGACAACAAATGACAACATAGTTTCTGACTCTGGGGTGTTTTCTCTCGGGTCTATCTCCAGTGAGGTCGTGTCTACAATGCACAAGTGAGTGCTACAAGTCCACTATCATCCTTTTTCAATGTATTCAAATTACAAGTGTCTTCCTGCCAATATCAACTGCTATAGGATAGCATGCTGACTTTAGAAGATGAAAGAGATATGTTGCAAGCAAAGGCCGGTGAATCTGTGATGTGTGTGTATGTGGGAACGTTAGGGTGGTGGGCGTGAGTGCGTGCGCGCGAGCATCGGTGTGTGTGTGTGTGTACACCCTTCTGACACAAGGCATGGTGTTTGCTGTCATTTGTACAAAGCACATGTGGCTTAGATTTGCAGGGGGTCCAGGCCTATCAAATTCAACTTGGTCCAACGAAGCTGGGATGTGATAGGGGAAGCATCAAAGAACGTTTTGATGTGTACCTGCACATTTAGGCTGAAAACTGTTGAACAATTTTTTGTACTTCCGTGTTTCTGCAGCAGAGATCCTGTGTCCTCCTCTCATCGTTTCGACAGGGCCAGAGTGGAACCAGTTTCGATTTTCAACACCCGTCCAGTGTGTGTGTGTGTGGGTGTCTGTGTGCGATTTGACAGCTCTCTTTGGTTTCAAGTCTGTAAAACCAATCAGCTGCAGCAAAAGCTAGAAGATGACACATACAGTTTGGATGTGCCAATTGTGCAGAAAAAACAAAGAAATGCGGAACGGTACAATTCCTTGAGGAAAAATCCGCCCGAACCGAAGGTGTCGGTGCGTTTTTGGTTGGCACGCATGATAGAGGAGCGCATTTATATACCGGGGTTTGTCCAAATCCCTTTCATCCCTATATTCCCTATATCGCCCATACCCTTCCTGTCTATTTATCCTTTTAACTTTCATTTGTGTCTAGCATGAAAAGATATGAAAAGCATTGCTAAGAATCACCAAGGTACGTGCTGATTGCGGAAGCAACGCTGCCAAATTCTTCATTGCAGCTATGTACAAGTTGATCTTCTGGATTTCGCCTGAGACCTCCCCGGCACTCATGCGCTCCAAAGACTCTCGCAGTCGAAGGATCTGAACAGACTTTGTTTCACACTGCCTGGCCTTTGCAAGCAGCAATTGGTCTGCAATCCGGCCGCCCTCTTCGACACCTTTTAATATTAGATCTTCCTTGGCCTTCAAAGTTTCTTCCAAGTTCAAGAACGAAGCTTTCAAGTCTTGCTTTCCCTTAGCATGCACACCATCCAATTGCTGCGTCAGCTCTTTCTTGGGTGATGGTTTCTGAAGTTCAGCAGCAGCTGCTTCCAGAAGTTGCGGGATGGATCCTGATACTTGATGAAATGCCCTTTTCGCGTTTTGTACGTCATGACCGCTTGCTACACATCCCTTTCTCTGCACTGCACATTCTGCACACAAGCATTGCGCGCAGTCGAGACAGAAAAATTGAAAGGGCTCCCCATGCTGCATGCAAAGTTCGAGTGTCTGACGGGATGAGAGTTGGATTGGAGCACTTCGAACGCTCGCAGCTTTGCCGTCTGCAAGAAGCGTAGATCGATGTTCTTTCATTCTACCAACGTGGTGTATCTTCTTGTAGCAGCTTTGGCAAAAGAATTCATCGCACTGCCAACACCTGACATCTGCTGCTTCCACTTGGCACTGGCCACACGTCTGGAGTTCCTGTGCCATCTCTGGCAGTGGACATAGTGGACTTCGAAGGCTGCAACTGCTTGGCACGGGGTTCCTCGGTTTTGGAAGGACCTTGCTCAGTCCTGGGCTCTCTGAAAGCCCATTCTGTGGTGCACACGGTGTGCCACATGCGGTGCCTTCTGTTATCCGCCTAGCCATGGCTTGACTGTATCCGCTTGCAGCTATTGAGGGCTGCTCCAAAGGAGATAGGGAGAGAGACGAGACAGAAAGAGATTGGGCATGAGTAGTATGAGGATTTGCGTCATCCAGCTCTCGTGACTCAACTGACAAGATCTGTTGGGCAGCTCCCGCCTCAACTTGGGTCACGGATCTACAGATCGGGCAAGAAGCCTGTGCAAAGTTTTCTCGATCCCAGCCTTTCCCCCCAGAACGTGCACTCTTGCAATCCAAGATCTGCATCTGCTTTCGGGCACATGCTAAGCACAGGCGATGGTTGCAAATGAGCACTAGGGATACCTCCAATGGGTTCAAAGAGCAACGCGCACAAATGTCCTCCTCTGAGTCACCCATTACAAACCACAATCAGGACGCAACTGCCAATTCAGCATTGATTTGCCGAGTTTGCTGTAATAGAAGAGAGAATAACCGTTTCCAACGAGTCAATTCTGACTCTGCAGGACTCAGCTGCGCTTGAGAAGAAGAGAAGGCTTCAATCGCACAGGAAGCGTTGTTTCATAGCACATTTATCATTTTATCATCGGGAACTCAAAAAGCACATTTTTGGATTTCCTGCATCGTTGCATGCAATTGAACCACCTAAGCTGCTCGGCGCACTAGGGCTTTGTTCATCATCTCCTGTCGTCCGTGTACACATCGTTTCACCGCTTCTTTGCAGACACTTCTTGGTGTGCATGTACATACAACCTTTCAATCCGCCCGCACCGAAGGTGCCGAAGCGTGGTAGTCTAGCAGCGAGATACGAATGGGCCCATCTGTCAGTCTGGTACAGCTTCAGCGGGGGCGGGCATTGTTGAACAAAGCAGCGCCACAGCAAACTCTTGTGCGTCTGAACATGGGGTGTCTGTTTACAGCGCCAAGAAATGCACAGGACTGTGGTCATTTGCCCTTTTTGCAGATCGGCCCAACATCGTTCAAATGCACCGTTTCGGCCCGACATGGCCGCAACATGGGCTCCACTTGGGGTCAACAGCCAACAAGGCCCCAACTTCCCAACTTGGGCCCACTCGGCTCCAACTTCGGCCCAACTTGGCTCCAAGATGGCGCAACTTGGCCCCCGAATTTGGACCCATTTGGGAGCAACCTCGCTCCAAGTTGAGGTCCACATGGCTTCAAAATTGGCACATGGCCGGCCCAATACGAAATCGTCAAAACACGCCGCGTTTGCACCTGTATTTCACACGATTTTTTGGCATCGATGATGCTTCGTGTTGAGCACTGTTCCCAATGTTGTGTCTCCGTTGGGCCCAACTTGGTGTGAAGCTGTCGCCAAAGTGTTCCAAGCTGCAGCATGCTGGACCTGACTTGGACTTCCATATGCATCGCATGGCTTCAAGTATCGCTTTGGGCCCAACTTCAGCCCAACATAACCAATTGGCGCCAACTTGGGTCCAAGACGCGGGCCAATTTTGCGGACTCAATGACACGCTGATTTCTACTTCCAACGTTTCTTGGCTTTAGCTGGGGCTCGTGCAAGGCCATGTTGCCCACATTGGCCTGTCTTGGACCCAATTTCGGCGCCAGCATCCAAACGTGCCCAAGCTGCGTGGATCAGTTGGACTCAAGTTTGGGCCCCAGTTGGAGCCAACTGGCCCGAGTTCGGCGCAAGTTAGACCCAAGTTGGGCCCAAGCTCAAGGCCAAGGATGGTCAAGTTTGACCCCAGTTGGCTTTGGTTGGGCCAAGTAGGCCCGCTCCTTTCCTGATCCAATTCTCTGGGTGCGGGCGGTTCTCGTCGCGACGACTTGAACAATTACTTAATTCTTACTCTGCTGCCCGCATGGTCCAAAGGAAGAATCAGTCCTGTTGTTGTTCACGGCGCGAATGATCCGTCAAGAGTCGCTCAACCGGATGACGTTGCCTGAAACACCAGACAACCAACGACCCGATTACATGTTTTCTTTGTTTATCTCTTCCTTTCCACACCTTTCACACCTTTCTGACACATATGGCATGCATGGCATGCATGGCATGCATGGCATGCATGGCATGCATGGCATAGTAAAAGCAACAAAATAGTCCCAGGTTAGCACAGGCAGCACAGGCAATAGTAAAGCACTTTGCTTTGCTAAAAGCATTTTGCATTGGAATTTCAGGAATCTCAGGAATCTCAGGTTCTGACGCTTCTCCACTATGCTTGGCTGGACCGGTGTCAGCCAGACCCTGACAAAGACAACAAGTCACTGGAAACAAGGAAAACATAATTAAACATACGTTCAACATACGCCATTCAAAGCCATTCCGCAGCACATTGGCAGTGAGGCAAAGTGCACCAGAGAGACTGACGAAAGGACTCCGAAGAATGCAAAAAAATATTCATGAATCATAGTGTTGTCGCATGAAGCAGAAAGCTTCTTCCAATATCATGACAAATGATGTGTTCAAGTGCTGCACAAGCTGCTCATCAAGGGGAATGGACATTCCCCGGACATTCCCCGTCTCAAAAGTGGTCAAACTGCTTCTCAGGCTCTCTAATCAAGAGAACGTCATGATCGCAGTTTGATAGATCGTGTTGCCAAACAGCTATCTATCCGGCCTGCTTCATCATTCTCTTGTCAGGCATCTCCTCTCCAACCTGAAGGGAAAGAAATGTGTCAAACAAAGACCTCTTTGCAAATTACTGTGATTCTCCATGATTCTCCTATGCGTTTGCGTACTCTGCTCCAACTTACGATTGCCTCGAGTTTGTAGCGCATTTCCATGGTCTCAGCCTGCATCTCAACTTGGCTCGTTCGAATCAAAAGAATCATTGGATTCATCTGGACGATCTCGTCTTGTATCTTGCCAAACTTGCCTCTCGTCGCCAACTTTTTCACAAATGTTTGGTGGGCTACATTCCACACACGACGCTGAGAGCATTCGGCAAGTCAAAATCGCTGAAGCATGCTGGTGCGGAGAAAACAATTGTGAAGTCTTTTTTCTGGCCAGCCCAAGAACTGTCTGCGGCCAATGCAAGCATCTTGCAGCTGCACCAAATGCGCTTTTTGAAATGAAATGGTTTGTGCAACTCAAAAAGTGTCTGGCTAATGTAGAAACTCACAATGCATTGGCCTCACTTTAAAGAATCTCTGAATTGGAATCTGAGCTGAGCTCAGAGGCAAAAACATAAATTCAAAGCTTGGCAGTGCCAAACACTGTCTCTTACAGCCGTCTTACAGCCGTCTTACAGCCAACTGAATCCTACAGGTTTGAACAGAGCGTCGTTGTTTTTTGTTGTGGTTGTTGCCGCTGTTGATGTTGCCGCTGTTGCTAGTGTGGTGCTTGTTGTCATTGTCAAACTCTACAATCGCCGGCAAGAAACTGCACAAAAACTTTGGGTCAAGTATGGTAAAGTATTCCAAGTGTCTCCTTCCGCTCTCTGTGCTTAACTTGCAAGCCAGTGCCCTTCAGCAACAGGCAGACTGTCGGGCCACCAGGTTTGGTCCGTTGGTGTCCCTTCAAATGCAAAGTCTCTAAGGCTCTCTAAGGTGCTCGAAGGCGCTCTAAGGCTCTCTGTGCTGACAGACATCGAGAGTTTCATGGCTTTCTCCAGGTCATCACCACGGTGCCGCTGATGATTCCAAGCCTTGCATCGCTGCCATGAAACACTTGGCCACTTGGCCACTTGGCCTTCCATTCTTCCAGCCCGGACAGTGCCTTGTAACATCTCGCAACATCTTGCAACTAATAGAGCCGGCCTTCCAGCCCGGACAAAGTCAACGGTTGGATGGACCTAAGCAATGTAGGTGGCACTCGATACACTTCTGATATCTTCCGATCAAGCTCTGCACACTCAAAGATATTCAACACTTCAAGTGACACTACGGCCCCCACGAGCACATTCTCGAACCAGTCGGTGAACGCCGGAGGAAGCAATCGCATTGTCTGACGAGCAATCAGCAGCACGGTCAAGCTTTGAAGAAAAGTGGCAGTGATCAACCTTCCACATCTGCTTTGCATTCAAAAACGTCTTGAGACATCAATGCTTCAGATTAATTACACCTTCACAAGCTCAACAACACGCCTCCGCACACCGAAAGAATGGTAGCAAAAGCGGGCAGGCCTCACATTTACATGACATGGCAATACAAAGTTTGTCAAATAATTCTGGAGTTTGAAGTATGCATACACCGAGAACCGGACAAGGATTTGGTAAATACCGTTTGTGAAGCAAGTGTACCATGGCCTTGCATTAGGCACGGCTCCAATGTCCTGCCAAGTCAGACTCAAACATCAGCTGGTTGGGGCAATGGACAAAACTAAAACAGTAACATATATCACCTGAAACCTTGTTGGGGAACATGTTTTTGAATTTTAAGCAAGAAATGTCTTAAAATTGACAAGAAGTGGATCTGAGTGACTTGAGTTTGATCTTGTCCTCCTCTACAACTGGCACCAAACCTGGACCGGGCACCCCGAATTTTGAGAGCTAAGAGAAAAACCTGATGGAAAATGCCGTGACTCAAATGACTCAAAACCAGCAAGGTGAAAAGTTTTGAAAACAGAGCAGGCGCTGAGTGGTTTTCCAACAGTTTTTCACAAGTTTTTCGTGGTGACTCAGCGCCTGCTTTCAGCGCAGCATCACGCATTGCTTGTGCGGGCCAGAGCCTGAGACAGCCAGTGCTCAACTGCTAGGCCTGCCACCAGCGCGTCGCCAGTCCGCTAAGGATGCTGCGGAGGCATGCATGTGCATGTCGAGATGTTCTGCACCTCATACTGACTCATACTCTTCAAAACTTCAAAAAGCAAACTGTTGCTGTTTCGTGCTCTGCTTACGGGCACGGTGCGAAATGTCTGAAGATCCCGACGTACTCCTGGTGCTCCGGATTGGTCTTGTCATAAGTATCTGTGACCTACACCAATGCTCAAACCAGGCAATGTCCTAGACAAATCTGACAGAAAGCCTGGGTTTTTCATTTCAACGAAAGCAAGTTGTGTCCATAGTCTAGTCATGTCTAGTTGACCTTGCATAAATTCCATGCTTGACAATGCTTGACAGCTTCGTCACCAGGATGTCACCAAGTCCGAGTGACCAGGATTTCATACGAAAGAAAGCGGCCGTTTGGCTTCAAGAGCCTGGCAACCTGGCACTCGGCATGACTCGGCATGACTCGACATGACATGGTGTGTAAGTCACCCGACCCGTCAAGTGAATACACCTGAAACAAATCTGAAACAAATGGAAACTTCATGAAACTTCTTTGTGTATTCAGTCCTCGCCAAAGACCGCATCCAAATCTGAGGAGTACTTCAAGGTGTAGATACCAAAGACTTTGCTGAAGCTTGCATCCTTAGATGCAATAAATTGATACAATCGGTTGAAAGAAACCCTGCAGGGGCCATCTAGCAGCTGCACAGTGATGAAAGCACGAAATCATACAGTACTCTTGAGCCAATATGCCTGAAAGTCTGTCTTGTGGTAGTTGCCCTGTACCTTCAGACAGAGAAGTCACACCAAGAGAAACTGTGATATTCACAACTTGTACTGCAGATTAGGTCCAGACAATCTTGCAACGATCATCCAGACCAGCATCCTCACGACAGGGCCCTCTTCGCTCTGCCCCAGGTGTACATGCTGAGGTTTTTCGGTGATTCCGTGTGACTCATTGTGATTCCGTGTCACTTCCGCATACTTCCGCTATGTTTCTGAAAGTCTCCCAGGCAGAGGAGGTGTGCTCTCCAGTTCGCACACCAGATCAAACTTTGTGCAAAAAGTGTGTGATTGTGTGCGAACTCCTTGGGTGCGCCCCTACATACTTCTTTGCAAACAGCGATCAGTAAAAGTGAAATCATGGGGGTCCTTGATGCGTTCGTTACCACCTACAATCTCTGCGTCTGCCATGGTCAAACCAGTCACCTAAGCATCGAAAAGCAAAATTCTGAAGTCCCCAAACGAAGGAGCAAAAAGACGAAACTGTGCGAAAGAGTCATTGCACTCACATTGGGGATCTCACTGACGCACCAGAGATCTTGGCAACTTGGCGGCCCATCTCTCCATAGCCGCAGCCGATCCTTTCCAAAGAGATTCTGAAATAACATTTTTTTTGTTATGTCCTTTTCCTTAATCTTATGCCTCCACGCCCAATCCACTCTTTGAAACTTGAGATCCAGACTCCAAAACAGTATCCTCTTTGCCTGACAACAGTGTCCATTTGACAGATTGATCTCAAGCCATGACGAGCACCCTTGCCTGCACCCAAATATCGAGTCACCGTGTGATGAAAACGAGAATGGGCTTCCTTGGGCACAGAGCTTGAGAACGCAACTGGCACAAGCCATCGCAACATGTCTGAACACCGGCACAGCTCTTCACACCAAGACTCTGCTCGTGACACACCTTTAAACATTGGAACAAAGTGCCAAAAGGGGCCGCTGCACAGAGTGATGAGGTCCTTTCGAGCATAAGATCAAGCTGTTGACGTTTCACATGAGAGCATCAAGAGAAAGCATGAACAAGCGATGCTTGGCAAAGGTCTCTCTGCATCTGTCCGACATCAAGCTGTAGTAGTTCATGACTCCGGGAACGTAGTCACCTGGTACCAGAGCCCAATGTGATCTGGTAAAAATAGTAATGCAGAGCCGTTGCTTTGTACATCTCTATACTATCTATACTATAGATGTGACATACTGCCTGTAAACCCAAAAAGTATGTATATAGATATATACATACATACAGATACATATATACATACACACACGTAATGTATAAATAGGTCTATATGTACACATACAATTATAGAGAAAGAGAATACATGTCTCTGTATATACATCCCAAGTTATTCAAATCAAATCTCAGCGCCTGATTCTTGCCCCTTTCGGATGGCATCTCTGTGGCTCTTCATGAACGCACGAAGGTCAGTCCTTTCAGATCGCAGTCAAACAGAAGTTGTCAATCTGTCCATTCAAATCAAATCTCAGCTGTGTCTTGAAACCCACCTGCGATATTTCCAGAGAATGGCGAGAAGGGATGTGATGTTCTGATCATTGACCTGGAAATATCGCAGCTTGGCACGAACTGAAGATTCAACTCGGTAAGGAATGCATCCGGCTCGACAAGCACACTGTAAATTTGAACCTCTTTGCTGACGGTAAAGCATATGTGTCAAAGCCAAAGCATCAAGTTTTGTCGCTCACTTTTGCATACAATATAGCTCCCTGTGTTTGTGTAGCATGTAAGGCATATATGCCTATGTAAATATATATATATATACATATATATATATATACATATACATATATATATAAATACATACATACATATATATATATATATGTATATACACATATCTATTTAAATAAATATATATATATATATGTATATTAATATATATACATATACATGTACATATACATATACATATACATATATAAATATATACATATCTATTTATATATATATATACATCCGCCGACCCCTGCCTAGCCTTGGCCTAGGCGGGGCGACGCCCGGGATCACTGCAGGTGTGCGGCGTTGGCCTGCTAAGACCTCCTTGCGTCACTCCAGCTTTCCAAGCTGCCTGGTCATGTATCTTTAGAAGTTTCGAACCAGCCGTCTGGCACTTTTGGTTCTACTAGGCCCAGCCCTTGCCCCTGTAGAACCGCCCCACGCAAGGCCTCAAGCAGGCCCAACTTCTTCTCTTCTAGAGGTTTCGGACCTTCCCGTTGGCACTTTTCGTTCTGGGGCCCGACTGCCAAAGGTTGAAGTTGCCCCACGCAAGGCCTCAAGTAGTTCTTCTCTTTTAGAGGTTCCGGACCTGCCCGTTGGCACTTTTCGTTCTACGGGGCCCGACTGCCAAGGCTGAAGTTGCCCCACGCAAGGCGGCCCGACTGCCAAGGCTGAAGTTGCCCCACGCAAAGTTCCGCACCTGCCTGTTGGCACTTTTCGGAGCAGCCATTTGTGCAGGCTTTGCTCCCAAGCTGACGTATCAATGTATGGCACGACCGCATTCCCACCCTTTTTGTCCAAAGTCCATGCTCTGAAATAAGCCATCGTTAGCTTTGCATTGTGCTCCGCATCGTCCCCACACTTGGTGGGCGTGGGCGACGTTGCCCGATGCGGACACAAGGGCCGAAGGCGGGGCTGCAAAAACTATCCCTGCCGCAGCGTTTCCGCCGTTGCCTCCAAAGAAAACTTTGTTCGGTGTCTCTTGCTTTTCTTTCCTTTTGAAATCGACGCCCGGCACAAGACGCACGTTCGCAGTGTCCGAACACGCCGCAACGAACTTTGCGCTGCCTTTCTCGGTCACTTCTACGTCCCAATGCGTGGATGGCTGGCTTGTTCTAATCGCATGCGCGGTGTCTTCAAAGGGACGACGTCCCAATACATCCCAAACTCATACGGTGACAGGCACCATATATCCGCACGCTGTGGTGTGTGCCGGTAAATTTGCGCCGGGTCCAGCTCCCGCATCTGCCGCTGGCCTCCATGATTCTTCGTCCATACATACCTTAGCCCCGCAGTTTCTTCTGTCTCATCAAATGCCACGTTCACTGCCTGCAAATAACATTGGCCAGGGAAAGCGTAGAAAGCGGCTGTGCTGACCCGTTCGGCCGCAACAATGGACGAGGGTTTGTTATACGCATGCAAATTGCAGCACTCGGCTTGCCCTCGAACAATGCCTTTGCAATACGCGTCGCTCAAGAAACGCGTGACATGCCTTGTCCCTAATTTCTCAATTAATTGATTCTTTTTCGCATTGTTTCTGCTCAGTCTGATGCCCTTTCTGAAATTCTTTTAGCCCGTGAAAAGCCATGGGCTGATTCTTAGCGCAACAATCCGCGCAGTACCCTGTCTGCGCATGTTGCACTGCATGGACTATGTCTCGGCGTTGTTGTCGTGACAGGGCGCGGCCGCACTCCCCGCAATCAAAGGGCAACCGGTACGGGAGTTGGACATCGACATTGACACCACGCAAACTTGCCAACAGCGCGGGATGACAGCAATTACGGCACTCATTGCGGTACGGACCATGCAGTGACCCCAAGCGATTTTTTCGACCATGCACTGCCATGCCATACGAGACTGCTTTGCAGGGACACAGGACCAAGCCGTTATCCGTTAACCATGCCGTTCGCGGGAACTCGCTTTTGCAGACCCCCCGGCTTATCGGCTTTTTCACACCCATGCAGTGGGCTCCTTTCGCCTGTTAAGGCTTGCAATTGCTGAAGCAAATCTTCCCATGCCAATGGGAAAGCGGTCGCATTACCACGCGCAGCCATGCGCTGCCGGTTCATCCAGGTGTCCTGGTCCAACGCGCGGTCTCCGCGGAGTTTTTGCCCCAAGCTAAAGAAAATCATTGTTGTCAAACAAGGGCTTGCACAGAGCATCTCCATGACTGTCACTTCTTTGCGACAAGCATCCCTATAGGCCCATAATACACCATCATGTCGTTGCTCAGGGCTGCGGCCGGGAGCTTCTTGTGCCAAACAAGATCCTTTTGGCAGCTTCGGCACAGTGGCACCCAACATTGCGAACACATCGTTTGATCGTTGCACCGCTTCGCGCAAACTTTGTCTTCAGGGCAACACACAAGCTTGACTGATGCATTACCCATTGCAACCTCACACACCCAGTCCTGCAACTCCTGCTTCATTTCTTGCTTCGAAAAGCTGGTTTCTTGCGCAGCGTACCTTTTTGTGAACGTTTCCATGCCTAGCAACTTTTCTGCTTCCTCTAGCGGAAGGCTAAATACAGTTCTGTTCTTTCCATGCACTGGCTGTGCCCAAGTAATCTCTTGATTCCGGCCACTGCTGAGATGGGGATTTTTTCCTAGCACAAGCGAAGCACAGCAGCGCCGACATTTTGTCGCCTTCCCGTGCCCTCCTGATACGCTTGCAGTGCGCGGCGGTCAATAGACACATTTGCTACCGGGGCTCCTCCCTAGCATTTCCATGTCAGCGCGGCACTGTACAAACTAAGCAACGCTTCATTGCTTGCGTCCTCACAATACGCGGCAGTCAAGCTGGGCTTGTGAGCCTCGAGGATGTGATCCAGTATTGCAACATCATTTTCGGCACTGAAACTGCATTCCATGAAGCTGCAATGCGCACATGGCAAGTCATACGCGTTCAGCCTCCCCATTTCTTCTTGGCAGTCCCATGCATGGTACTGTCGGTTTCTCTACGATGTGTTAGCTCAAGGACATCACCTTTCTTTCGTACGCTTGTCTTGGATCTTTGCTGGTGCTTTGGTCCGGGCAGCGCAATCGAAACATATCCTCCTCGTCTGATAACTCATCCTCGCCATGGCCAGGGAAAGCACTGCAACTAGACTAACTAGACACTTTCTCCAAGTCCATCTTGTTCTGTTGCCGTCTTTCTGTTGACAGCAGGCCCCCTTCCGTTGGGATTGCCTCGCGACGGTGCATCATCCGCCGGTACCTGTTGCTCGGCCTTGCCTTTGCTTTCCTCCCACCTTGCCGCGCGTCCCGCTGGCGCTTGTTTCCCCCTCATCCGCTTCAACGGCGGCAATGCAGGCTCTTCACATCGCCCTTCCTGTCTCGCTGGCGCCTTTTTCTGTTTTCTCGGCTACTGTCATAATGCGCTGCCTCCTTGCTTACGCCTGTTTGTTCCCCGCCGTTCTCTTCGTGTCCCCCGGTAGACGTCTGCGCATCGCCACGTCCACCTTGGTTCTCCTCTTTCTTGCACCCAAAGCGGCACCTCCCTCTGCCGTTTTGGCTTCTCCGTGCTGCTCCTCCTCTTTCTTGCTCCCTAACTTTTCCCGGCCCCCGCGCCCTTCTCACTACCATGACCAGCAGAGACAGCAGCCATATCACTCACAGCCTTGGTCGCAGCTAAACTGCGCTTTGAGACCAATAACTAACTGGGTAATAATATGTGATAATCCGCTTGGCTTAAGCCAACAACTTAACTCATATTATTGATGCGGAGGTTTCCTAAAATCGGGGTGCCCCCAAATCATCCATTTTATTTTCGGATTTTCCATTTTAAACCATCCAGCTATTGGGGTGCCCCCAATGACTATGGAACACCTATATTGATTGATCATTTTGCGGCCTTAACGCTGATTTACCTCCCAAGTTCTGCATCTTTGATGCCGCCGGTGGCCTCCAAGAGCTCCCCGGGAAGCAGTTCCATGGGAGACACAGATTTGATCCGGCGACACGGCAACATCTCTTGTGGGTTTCATCACGTTGAATTATATTTATATCCACCTGCTGAACAGTTGCATGAACCTGCAGCAATTCCCCTGCCCTGTGAAAAAAAGGGGGTCGGCGGCACCAGGGCGTTAGCCCATTTCTAGTATATATAGTTAAATGTTAACAGTACCAGCTCTCAAATCTCTGCAGTGCCGCCTTACCAATCAGCTTCTGCCATAGCAGGCCGGCAAAAGGAAGTACCAGCAACTTGGTTTCAGCATGATTAAGGGGGGAAGACTCACAGAAGAGACAACCCCCCCTTGCATTTTGTTTGTTGTTTTCTGGGCTGATACTTCTGACATATTATCTCTCTCCAAGTTGTCTTGTTTTCTCCAGCTTTCCCAGCACATCTCCCCTCAACTCGTCTCTTCCTGATTCTCTTTGAGCCCCTTTTGGGCGACGCAAGTCAGCACTCTCTGTACTGCATAGGATGATGCAGTTGCCAAGTTGGCATCGTCTTTCGAAATACCTTAAGAGAATCAATTGCTGGGTGGCCAACTGTCATGCCGCAGGTGGTCAGAACCGCATGCCTCGCAAAATTGTTCAAGCTCCACGCTGCTGGCCAGGTTTAGTCGTTTAGCGGCTTAACAGCCCGGCAGGGACACTGTGCCAAGAGATGCTTCCACAGAAAATGAGCTTCACGTGGATTGAAACAAATATGTTTAATAAACAAAGTTAAACAAGTAGAAAAAAGAGCAAATAACAAACATTTGTGCTTTGAGTTTGCCTTTTCTTGCAAACCAAAATGTTGGCGCTACAGCCCCTTGGCCTTGAGACGATCTGCGTCATCGCCTCTTAGGTGGGGTTTGCGGTCACAGGATCGGAACTCCAAATGAGTCGTTCCGCTATTGTTTGCACAATATATTACTGAAATATATTATACAATACTGCGCTGCCTCCGAAGATTGTTTCTTTACTCGGGTGGTTTGCCAAATCCAATATGCACATTGGCTCGTTTGCTCCCAAGCTCTAAGCCAGGCGCCTTGAAAGGCGACAATTAGACACACAGGTGTGGTGAGAGCTGGAGCCAAATGCTGCGTGAAAACCATGCTCTCAGAACCATCCCCCAGTGTGCCGTGCATTCAAAGCGGATCACATGAACTGGAACCTCTCTCTCAAGTAATTCTCTGCAGTCAACATGTCAGAACTGCTGTTCCAAATATGACCCAGCCTGCTTCATCATGTGAGTTGGTAGGGCCAGTCCTCAACTTCCAGATCAGATATCTGAAGGCAGCAAAACCATTCAAAAACGACAAGACTTGCCATATCAAGAGCTGTCAGATCTCAGGCAGCTACTATGAAGCTCCAAATGTCTCACTTTGTCCAGTCACTGAGCCAAAACAATGCCACACTGGGTGCGAAAGAAGCTATAGCCATTCCGATCTTGCGATCTTAGGCCCTGGCTCCTGAATAATCCGTGAATGCCAAGCGACAAACGTAAACATAAATAGCTTTGTGTAAGCAAATTTGAAAGATGCGATGATGCAAACGCAACTTAGCGCTTCAATGAGAGTTTTTGCATCTTTTAGGCTTGACGAAGCACTCGCTCTGCCTATTTTGAAGGGCTGTGAGACCTGCAGGGCCGTGAAACACTTTGGACCCACTTGTGGCGGTCACAATCAGAGACCTCAGAGACGGGTTTCCTGAACGCCTGCAGTTCGGGAACAGCAGCCGAACAAAATTTGGAATGAATCTGCAAGAAAAGCTGAGAAAAGTAGGCCTTCTGTCATTGCGAATAATCTCCTGGGTTCATTTCAAGAATGGAAAACTTGTGGTCTCAATTCAGAATTTCCTGCCATGTTTCAAGCTGCCGATCTTACTGCCCATGAAATTGTACCTATGAAATGGTACCACGAATCACAGAGCTTCGCAGCACTACCTGCTCTGAACATCTCTGAACTATGCATAGATTGACGAATGAATTCTGTTCAGGTTGCCCTTCTTACATAATTCACTTCTACATCTTCTACGTTTTGGAAGCGGTCCTGTAGTCACGGAAGTCAATGTCGTCTTTCTTTTTGCCCCGGGCATCCCTCACAAAAGTGTTACAAATTCTGCCGCGCTTGCAAACTTTAAGTGTGGCTGGTGCCCCCCTCATGCCCACTTGCAGTGAGTTATATATAACATGTTATAACAAGTCAGTTCGTGGTTCACAGTTCACATAGGTTGTCTACACTATGCACCTCCCTGGCACAGTATGGAGCTATGATTGCGCAATCCATGAATGCACAATGCGCATTCTGCGTTTCACTTCCGCTACATCACCGCACGTCCACTGATAATATCCAACATTGCCTGACATTTTCATGAGCGAGTTCTCGTATCCTGCCATACTAAGACTGCTCAAAGCTGAGTTAAGCAATTCAACCAGCCACATCAGGAATATAAGAAGCCTTCTAGGAGAGACACATAGGATGACTCCAACAATCCGAAAAGTGAATCCATGTACCATATCAATATGTCATACAAGCACGAAACCACCGATTTTGAAGCAGTGCAAAACACACAAGCTTTGCCAGCGTGTCCTCCTAGTACACTTTCCCATGATATCATCTGTCACACCGTGGATGCCGGAAGTGTGCAAGGCTGTCCCGATCTGCAGCGCTCGGACCAGTGAGTTGAAAAACAACTATATACAATGATCAGGCAACGATCAAGTTTCGGTATTTTCTGTCAGTCAACTTAGGTCTGTGGGGATTTGTCGGGTGTATCGTGTGCATCGTCCAATAAGATAGGAAGATATAGATGGTATTTGATGATATAGGAAGTTTCTGAATCGTCTCATACCTTTTGAATCCGTTTCATCCCTCGTATATCTAAGACTCAAGAACTCGGCTCCAGAATTGCATGCTCAACGACCAAAAAGACTTCAAGCGACGTGTGACAATTGGCATGCTCTCACTATTCGCTGCCTTCTTCAGGTCCAAGTACTCTTGCCTTTCATCAGCCAAGCGTGCAAAGGACTGCTCCAACGGATCAATGTCAAGTCTCTCGAGGTCTCCATCCTGCGCGCAGGGCAGATCTTGTTATCAGCAATAAGTTGATATCAGCTGTGTATCGATGGCATAGCTACAGTATGGGCATAGCTATGGGCATAGCTATGCACAGCTCCTCCATGAGGGATACTCTGAATGCTGTGGATGCTTTGGATAAACAGATTGTGCAAGTCTCAGTCTCGACCTTCTGCTTATCATTGTGCCAATCTGCCTCGAGGTTTGCCCACACTTCGTCAAAGGTGACCGCGGTGCTTCCTGTCGAATCTTCCTGACAAGAAGTGAAGATGGTAATGCGGCAATACTCAGCTGCTTCACAGAAAGAATCATAAGGAAGCATCTAACGCATGCCTTCCCAAGCACCCATTCGATCTGCTGGTGGGTGATGTCAGGATCAAATGTCCTTGTTTGGCATGAGCTATGCATGAGCTATGCAGCTATGCAGGAGGACATCTGAGGAAAACAATTCGAATTCCACTCTGAAGACAGTGACTCAAGTGACTCAAATTGTTGCAGTTCTATGTTTTTTCATGTAGAAATTTCTCTGGCTCACTATGGCTCACTATGGCTCACTTGTGTGTTTGTAGAACGTGACGTTCGTGGCACGGTGAGAGTTTCAAAGCCATCCTCAAGGTCTGCAGGAGTTGCTTGAAGGTCACTGTTTTAACCGGTGAGGAAGCGTCCTGTCCAGGGAGAAACAATCCAGCCATGTCCCGAAGCTGGTTGAGTAAAAAAATGCTGACCGAGCATGGTCTTATTATACAACACAAGAAAATGTGGTGCTGATTCAAGGCCAGGTAGGAGGACCAACAGTGATTATGTGTATATATATAATTATATAATTATATATATGTGTGTGTGACTCTGTGACTGCCAAATTCTAAGTCTGCGGCTTTGGAACTTTACTACTTACTGAGAGAATGTAGACTGCCCGTAACCAACTATTGTCTTGTACAAAGAGTCGATAGAGATCATTCAGGAATACATTTAATACGTCTAAGCTGCTTCCGTTTTTCAATTTGAATCAGTTGACTCATGATCAGAAACTGCCTCATCCCCGTCGAATGGGTGCTTCTGGAATGTTTCGACCTCAGAAAAGCTGTTGGTAGAGAGACCTGCATTGTTGGCCATTTGCAGTGACAGACAGTGCTTTGATTTGAAACAAACCTAGGACACTAAGATCAGCACGAAACTCCATGCAGTCATGGCTGCCTCCTGACACGCCCTTCTGGTGGTTGCAGCAATCCCTCCTCTCTCTCTCTCTCTCTCTTGATCTTCCTGGATTTAAAAACGGAAATCACTTGTGGAAGAGACTACAGTAGGTTTTCTGTGTTTTCGCATGTTCTACAAAAAGAAAGAGTCGTTGCCGCTATCAGGATAGTTCTTGGCAAGGTCTGATTTAAACTCTTCTACCAGCGTCCAGACCTTCATTGACTATACAGTATACATCATGTATTTGAACTGGCTCTCACGTCCCCAAACGAAATGCTTTCTGGTACCCGCCTTGCTCATGGAAGATCTGCCATTCATTGTGAGGGCAGGAGCCACTGGGCCATACCCAGTGCTGCTCCTGCTGGATCAAAGACGTGACTAACATGACTTTATTTCCACCTCCATTCTCGGCAAGAAATTGAGATTACAAAGCGGGGCCTACCCCCAGCACTTCTGCGACCTTGGGCCTTCCATGTCAACGCACTTCCAAGCAGTGCAGCAAAGCCACGCTATTCGATGCAAGATACTTGGATCTCAGGAGCAGAAGGGACGGACTGATTTTGGTTTTTCTTTATGTTCCATCATGCCACTTTCCTCACAAACTGCAGTCAACTGATGTGCTGCAAGAAAAATAGGATATAAATATCACGATTATATAACTTGTGTTTTGTAGGTGACTTGTCCACTCCTGTGCTGCCTTGATGTGACTGCATGTGAACCCTTGCGCCACCAACATGTTCCTGTGGCCCATATGGCACAAGTGCCACTGCAGGGTGGGCCGTGGTTTCTTGGTGTTGGACACCATACCGTTGCCTTTGAGCCATTTCCTGGGAGGAAGACATCGTGTTGCCGCGGATTCGATTTGGAGAGAAGACACGGATCTTTCAAGTCATTTTGGTGGTGGGACCACTTTCATGTCTTGCAATCAGGGATTGTTGATTCTTGGCTACCAATGGGAAGGGGATCAATCCCTTTCACACTGGTAGCGGAGCTACCTGGTGCTCCGGCTACATACAGTTTTGACTTGCTGGCTGTGGATTTTTTCCTTTTCGCTGTAGCGATCCACGGGGCAAGATTTGCATATCCATGCCTCCATCCACCCAAGCTGCAATTGAGACGCCAGTGCCTGCTGATGAGCCCAATGTGGGATTTCGCCCCAGCTGCCATGGACCAGTATCACAAAGTTCGTTCCTAGTACCACGAATGTTCAAGAGTATGCACAGAAATTGAAGTTCCTTGCGGCCATGTGGCCTGAAGAATACCTGAGCTTGCTAGCCGTGCAGCTCTCTTGGTTGAGGGGACAGCCTTTCTCAAAGTGGCCCGTTTGAGTCCTGAGAAACTTCGTGTGAACAATCAATCAGGGATCCAATTACTGGTTGAAGCTATCGGGGGGTCTTGGGGTGCCACTGAACTGGAAGAGATACAAGTTTTTCGAAAAGGCCTTGTATGGCACCATTCAGCGACATGATGAATCTCATGACTCCTATTTGGGTCGCATGGAATCCAACTTTGTGGAACTTCTGAGCAAGGGCACAAAACTGGAGTCCAGGCCCTATATGTGCTTTTGAGGCAATCGCTCCTCGCTCCTCATGACAAGAAAAAGATCCTTCTTGAGCACCCTGGTGAGCTGAAGTATGAGCCAGTGGTCAAGTTCTTCCGTTTGCTTGGTATGTTCTTTTTGGAACTGCAGGGAAGTCGTCAAAGTGCCAATTAAGACTAAGGTGTATGATGTCAACCTGTCTAAACAAACTGAAGGGTTTTTTTGTCATCAGCCTGATGAGCATTCCACAGAGTGTGCATGCATGGCTTTGACAGAGGATGTAGAGCCCGAGCTTGATGCCGAGTTCATGGAAGTCATGTTGGCTGCCGAAGATCAGGATGAGTTGCTTGTCAGCTCCTTTGAGCAGGAACTTGAAGACTTTCATCAGGACGTTCCTGACATGCCAATGCATGATGCGATGGTGACGTATCTCGAGGCACGTTCCAAACTGCTCGAGAACGTCGCAGCCGTGACTTCTGGCCAATCAAGCCCGGTGGAAAGGACAACCGTGGTTTTGGAAAAGGAAAGGGCCGCGGCAAGGGAAAGAGGCAGCGAGACCTACTTTTGGCTCGTATTGCCGGATCGACCTGCCGCCTGCAAAAGGGCCATTGGGAAGCGGAATGCCCCAACAGGGACGAAAAACTGATGGTGGCACCGCCGTGGCCAACATTGTTGAGACGTTCCAGCCTTCCTTGGTCCATGAAGTCCACTCACCGAGCCTGAGCCTGCACCGTCTAATGCCGATGATATGTTCCATGGTGTCCTGTCTGGTTTTAGTGTAGGTATCAGCCAAGGTGTGCCTGAGTTTGCAGAAGCCTTTGTCGTGCAAGCCTTGTTGAACAGTTCCCATAAAAGTCAATTAGGCCTTAAGATGCCAAGGGTTTGTCAAATTAAATCCAAGTTGCCTTCACGTGCCTTTCCAATGCCCAGGTATGCCGTTGACGTGAAGAAGAGCCACCGATCTGATCGTTCCGAGACTGAATGCAAACCCTGTGAGGCAGCCTTGCCTTTGCCTGATGTCTGCCATTTGGCATCGACCGGTGACCAACACTGTCACGCAATTTTAGATACCGGAGCCAGTAAATACGTGATTGACGAAAAGATGTGGAAGCAGCGCTTCTAGAAACTTCCAAGCAGTCTGCAGCAGAAAGTTCGGAAGGCACCCAGTCATGTGAAATTCAGGTTTGGCAACAATCAGACTTCAAGTTCAACTTCCAGTGCTCCTCACTCGAACCGTCGTTTGTGGTTGACCATAGAAGTTTTCCCAGGCAGCACCCCGTTCCTTTTCAGTAAGAGAGCCTTCAAACAACTTGGAGGTATTTTTGGATACGTCAAATGATTCCTAGGACCATGCTTCAGTTTGGAAAACTGAAGCGCACCAGAAGTGGCTGATGGCCCTACCAGGAGCACATCGACACTACATCCAGCAATACCTCTATGGCTCCAAGGGTGTGAAACCTACATGTCTTAGAGCGCTGTTTTCTGCAATGTCTTGACCGCAGGATCAATCCTGAGCAATCCCACAGAACTGTATTTGTTGGATGTGATTCAAATGTGTTCTCATCCCCCAAAGAGTCTTTTTTAATCCAGTTTTGATGCACATCATGTCGGTGCTCAATCAAGGGGAGTTGATTGTCCACATGGGACGCATGAGTACAGTTGAGAGCATTTCACTTTTGGTGGCCAAACCAGCCTCAAGAGACTGCAGCTCACGATCGCCCTTCCGACCGTCCAGTAACTTTCAGCATGCCGCCTCCAGCTCAAATGATGACGTCACTGAAGACCGTTGCCGAAGCAGTGACCAGCCTGTTGACAATGCTGCTCCAGTTTCTCATCAACCAATCAGACACTGTTCCAGGGTTCAGAGAATTCCCCGGAAGTGATGCAAGCGATGGAAGGATGGTTTTCCAGCTGCAGAATCAACGGACGATGTTGCAAAGTCTCATGACTTCCGCCCAGAGCTTCCCTTCACGAAGGGTCCAAGGTTCAACTAGAGATTCAGTGGCCGGTGAAAGCTCTCAGCAACAGCTGGCTCCAAGATCATCACCACCCAGAGCGCCCAAGTGGCCCAGCGAAACTGCTCAGGTGCCAATGTCTTCTCTGCGAGTTGCTCAAGTTCTGCAGGAGCCGCCAACGGCCACATTGCCCACAGCAGCACTGACGAGCCGGGTATCAAACTGGCAGATGATCGAGGAGTCCGAGGCGGAAGTGATTCTCGACCTCGAGGGGCCTCAGATCGACCTGAATCCACCGAACCACTTGGGTTCAACAACTCCCTTGGTGTGTTGGTTCCAAGGGCCAGCACTCAGATGACAGTAGCGGATTGGGGACAGTGCCGAGTGACCTAGGGGAAAGAGCACAAGGGGCGCACTTGCATCCAAGTGTGGCATCAGGATCCATCCTACTATCAATGGGCTGTGGCTCGTTTTGCCACTCTCACGCCCGAAGTCCAAGATTTCGTGAGGTTTTGTCAAATGCAGATGGATCTCGATCAGCGCCCAACTTAAGATCCGTGTGTGAGAATCATGTTGTGAACTCAGCCTTTCATGATGATGTTGCAAAGACCCGCATGTTTTTGAACCAAAGTTCACATCCAAAGCTGTTTAACCATGCCATGACTGACTCCATTTGCTATGCCAGCCGGATCTTAGAAGAAGCTTTTGTGCCGCCAGGATTCCATACTTCCGGATACATCTGTGAGATATCCAAAACTGGTGATCATGAGTTTGGAAGGATTCCTACGGAGGGCAAACGAATCTTCACAGCCAAAATCATGGACGGTGCCGGAACTGCGATGAAGGCGCACGGTATAACGAATCCGGTTTCTATCACGGTCTGGAATGCTTAAAGGCAGTTGGAATCTTTCTGTTCCACGGCAAACATATAGATGGCCTGAACTTGCATTTGAGGCACTGCATGAGTTCTGAACCTGATGGGCCATGTCATGTGACATGGAAATCAGGCAGTTTCCAACGCGCGGGGCGAGGCTTTCCATCGCTTTAAAGACATCTTTCCACCGCTCGGACGGTGAAGTTGCCTGAGAAAGCATTGGATCTGGCTGCAAGTTCGGACTTGGCACAGCACCATGGTGCTGCCGGGAAACATCTGCGACTGCCCTGGGACATGTTCTGGGAACACTTCAGGTTCAGGAACTTCGTCATGTTGGGGCATGTTTTCATTTTCAGGATCAAGGTCTATTACAGGATGAGTTGCGGGTTGTGGTGAATCAAGGTCAATTGCATGGGAAGCTTTCAAACATTTGTGAGAATTGCGTGAAAATCGACATCGCTTGGTGGGAGGAGCGTCTTCATGTTCACCTACGCGGGCTTGTTCAACTGGACAAACAACTGCAGAAACTCAAGTTCACCAGACATCCGCCAGAGCCATGCGTTTTCATGCTGGAGACCGGAAGTGGCCAAGATCGCGTTTTACATGGCGTCATAGGCACTCACGTGGACGATGGAGTTTGTGGCGGCGATCAATTCTTTCATGATCAGTTGGGGGCCCTGAAGAGAGTTCTACCGTTTGGATAAATTTAAGCAGCGTAAGTTTGTTTTTACTGGTATCCACGTGGAACAACTTCCTGACAACAGCATTCTAGCTTCGTAGCAAGAATATGTTCGAAACATTCCAGCCATCGACGTTAGTCGACCACGGAGACAGACACCAGATTCCCCTGTGAACGAATCTGAACTTAGCAAGCTAAGGGGTGTAATCGGCAGTCTGCAGTTTGCTGTGACCCATACCCGTCCTGACATGGCTGCCAAACTTGGAGAAGTCCAGGTACAAATTTCCAAAGCCGTTCTTCGTGAAGCCCAGGAAACCAGTGATGTTCGTTTGTGCTTTCATAGTATTCCAACTGATCAACTCACTCATGTCAGTTTTGGTGATGCTTGATTTGCTAGTGCAAAACAACTTGCGTCGTTTCAAGGAACTCTCATATGTGCTACTACTCCTGCTTTAAATAAAAATCAGGTGGCTCCTGTAAGTCCGCTGCCTTGGACATCGAAAAAGACTGCGAGAGTTGTCAGATCGACACTCTCTGCCGAAGCCTTTTCCATGTCAGGTAGCGTTGATCGTCTTGGATAGATGAGACTCTTGTGGGGTACCCTCATCATTCCCGACTTTTGTTGGAGGGAACCAATTCGGGGATTCCAGATGTTGCCCAGTGCCACCACAGTCACTGATTGCAAAAGCCTCTATGACCTAGTCAGCCGCACGGCGATTCCCTCATGTGAAGAATTTCGCGCTACTCTTGAAGTCTTATTAATCCGCGAGCGCTGCCAAGAACACTGCGTTTTCAGATGGATTCCAGCCTCACTTCAGGTGGCTGATGCTCTCACGAAACCACTGGATCCTGTGTTACTTCGTCACGTATTCGCTTCTGGAAAGTTTCAACTTTATGATGAAACTGAATCCGCGGAGAAACATGCCCATAAGAAACACGAATTGCGTTGCATGGCTCAGACCGACGTGACTTCCAAGACCAATGTCACATCAAAAGAATTTTTAGGGAGTGTGATTTGTAGGTGACTTGTCCACTCCTGTGTTGCCTTGATGTGACTGCATGTGAACCCTTGCACCACCAACATATTCCTGTGGCCCATATGGCACAAGTGCCAGTGGAGGGTGGGCCGTGGTTTCTTGGTGTTGGACACCAAACCGTTGCCTTGAGCCATTTCCTTGGGAGGAAAACATCGTGTTGCTGCGGGTTCCATTTGGAGAGAAGACACGGATCTTTCAAGTCATTTTGGTGGTGGGACCACTTTCATTTCCTGCAATCAGGGATTGTTGATTCTGGGGCTACCAGTGGGAAGGGGAGCAATCCCTTTCCCGAAACTATATATATAACTGTTATAACTAGCGCGACAGCTTTGCATTGCAAAGTCAAATTGCACCAAGTTCCTCTTTTTCTCCAGGCGGTGGTGTTTGGGGAGTTTCCGTGGTCCACAGAGTCGAAGTCAAGACCGCACAGTTTGCCCGGAGCTGCGGGCACCCTACGCGGTGCTCATCAAGTCCTGGGCGTCCCTCGCGACTAGCGAGATGTGGGCGCACTTAAAAAGATATCTGTCCCAAAGTATCCCGAAGTCATTTTGCAATAAATGTATATAAATGTCATCCAATTTTTCAAAACCTGTATATGGTTGTTGATCAAAATTCCTTTATCCCGGAACGGCCATTCTTCGCGAATAAAAATTTTACTTTCGCGAAACTTTCGCAAACTCCATGTTTATCTTTCGCGGGGCCCATGTTGGCCAACAACACCTCTTATGAAGATTCGTTCACCACCTGCCAAATTACGCCAGAGAATCACGGATCACTTCTTGGTAGCCTTTTAAACATGCAGCTAGCATCACGGAATCCCTTCTCAGGACAGCTTTTTGTTGCAAAGTTAAATGGCCCACCCCCTTCAACATGCACTTTGACTTTCGCCCGCTCTTTCGCATAACTTTCGCGGAACTTTCGCGAAATTATCCCTATTCACAGACCCCGGCCATCAGCAGGGGGTGCACTGAAGGAAAAGCGAAGACCAGGGGCCTTGGTGTTTGGCTCTAGCAAAGCCTCACTTTTGGAAACTTGGCTACTGCTACTCGCATTCTCTGGTGCCCTTCTCCTGCCGGACCCCGGGCGGCAGCGGGTTGGCAGCCCTTTACATATAATGATTATAATACCCAACTTTCGCGAAACTTTCGCCAAATAAAATTTTACTTTCGCGAACTCGAAAAAAAACTTTCGCGAGGATTTCCAACATAACATGCACGGCTTTCGCAATTACAACTCCTTACAAGGACCTTTAGATCGATCACCATATAGGTTTCAAGTCGGCTTCTAACCACTTTCACCATCTTCCACTCGCATGTCTTGCAGCCCTATGGTTTCGTCTCAGGAAGGCTACACCGGATACGCTGTCAGACACTAACAGCATCCGACAGCATCTGCCGCTCACATGTACATCATACCGGACTCACGGCCCTGGTCAACAAAACACTAAGCAACAAATACCAAGAGTACTGGCAAGAACAAGTCACACTGAGTGGAATGAATATTGCTATCTTGCACAATTCTGCAAAGTGAAAATAGTCAAAGCAAATAGCAAGTCGTCTGATTGATTCTTGCAGTCAGAGTTGATCCTTGAGGACTCACTACAAGTGCTAGAACAATGCCTTGTTCTTGACAATTTGCTCTGTCATCATAGACCTGGAGTGTCAATAAAACAGTTTGGTAAGTTTGAAGTTGCTGAAGCAAGAGCTAGGACCGTTCAGCACATGCCTCTGTTGTAATGACTAGCAACGGCGGCTCTAGTCTGAGTCATAAACTTCCAGCCATCCTTGTAGGTTTCTGCTACCTGTTCCTGGAGTTGTACAAACACCAAGTAGCTCTGAGAACGACGGAGCGGTTCCTCCTAAATTGCCCGCCTTGAGATTGACAATGGCCTCGCAGATCAAAAGTGTTTGGGTAAGATGGTAAGACGGTACGACGTAGAAATCTTTGTGCCTGATCCTATCCCGGCAAGTTGCTACAAATTGACGCTGAAAGCATGGCCTTTGCAGGGTCCAATCCCTTTGGGCAGCAGTTTGTGCAGTTCATGATGCCTGAGTCTTCCAGAGGTTTTCAGGGTTGGCACATGAATTGGCATCTCAACTAATCTTGTTTTGAGAGGAACACAACCAAGAACTCTGGTTATGTCTACAATGATGGACATGACATGGTTGATATGTGTTTTGGAAGGGTTCAGCCGTGAGGGCAAGTGCATCCTAATATCGGGCATTTTGGCCCATTTTCAAACGCTGTATGACAAGTCCTCCTCCTAGTAGATGGGAAAATAGGTTTGGTTATTTTTATTTTTACTTTGTCCTCGATGTCGGTATCTTTTTCCCTGCAAAGGACGGCATGAGCAAGCCTGGACTAACATGTGGATGGAAAGAAGATGGGTGGGGATGGGCGGACGGAGTGGAAGGGAGTGGAGGGCAATGGGCCGGGATATGGGCTAAAGGGCATGGAGAAAAGAGTGTGGACCCAGAGAAATGGGCGGACATGGCTGGGGATGAAATGGTGGAGAGTGGACGGAAATGGCGTGGGAACGGAGACTGCAGACAGAAGGAAGTGGGCTGGTGGGCATGAACGATTTTATTCGGTACCAAGCTCCTGAAACGCTCCTCTGTGATGAGCCTTGGCATAGACTCCGTCCACTGATGAAAAATTCACTGCCGCAAAATTTGCAAGCACACGCTTTGGTGATCTCACATTCTAAAACGTTGGTAGCAAGGGGAGGAAGGGAGGTGCCACCAACCAATCATGAAACATATTTGTGGCACTTGTCCGCAGAGTGGTTGTTGATTCAGACTTTGCAGTACAAGCCTACTTCGGACGCTTTAGTTTCCAGAGCCAAGACAGGACAGAAGAGGTGAAGTTTAAGTGGAGAAATCCTGAGTCAGGGGAATGGTGGAAAGCGCGACTCATACCCAGCAGTTCGCAAAAGCCGAAGCAAAGAAAATGCAGCAACCACCAAAGCAAAGGGGGTCGGAGAACCCAAAAGCAAAACGACAGCTAGCAAACGGCATTCAAACATCCCTCTTGGTTCACTTTCAATGCAAAGTCCTGCCACGCTGCTCATGGTACCTGATGTGATCCTCTGGGTGAAAAACAGCATCATAAAAGCATGCTTTTCCACACACTCTCTGCTCTCTCTCTCTCTCTTTTCATCCATGCTCGCTCATGCCCACCAGCCCATATCCCGTAAACCCAGCTTTGCAACCCAACAGCAGTGACAGTTTCAAATTTAAGGCCCAGGGACACAATTGGGAGACATTTGGAAGACAACATCTGGGAGGCAAGTGGGAAACAAGCGGAATACAATTGGGAAATAATTGGGAAATAATTGGGGGACCAAATCTGGGAGACAACTGGGAGTTGTGAAAGACAAGTGAAAGACAATTGGGAGACAATCGTGAGACCACATCTGCAAGACAAACGCGAGATAATTGGGTGACAAGCGCGAGACAACATCTGAAAGACAACTGCGAAACAATGACAAGTGGAAGACACTATAAGAGACTTGGAGCCAATTGGAAGACCAATTCTGGCAGACAGCTGGAAATGGTGGAAGAGAATTCGGAAACAATTTTCTGACCACATTTGGGACACATCTTTGAGACAACTGGCAGACAATTGGGAGACCACATCTGGGAGACAACTGGGAGACCACATCTGAATGGAAAACCATCTGGGAGACACGTGGGAGACTATTGAAAGACATGTGGAAAACATGTGGGTGACCACATTCGGGAGACAACTGGGAGTTGTGAATTGTGGGAGACAAGTTGAAAATCACTGAAAAACAATTGGAGAGACCACATCCGGTTGACAGCTGGGAGACAACACAGTGGGAGACACAGTGGCAGGCAAGGTGGAACACACAGTGAGAGACAAAGTGAGAGACACAGTGGGAGACACAGTGGGAGACAAAGTGGGAGACACGTGGAAGACAGAGTGGGAGAAGACAAGTGGGGAAGACACAGCGGGAGACACAATGGGAGATACAGTGGGGGACAAGGCAGAAGACAAAGTGGGAGACACAGCGGGAGGCAAGGTGGGAGCTCGTCCAACCTCGCTCATACCATCCGCCCTTGTCCACAACCATTTCCAGCCGTTGCGTCCACACTGTCTATCCCCAGTCCATGTCCGTCCACTCCCTCCCCTTCCGTCTGTCTCCACCCATTTCCCTCCACTTCATTCCAACCTGCCCCCCCATTTCCTTCCAATCCCTTCCATCCACACTGCCACCTCCCCTTCCCACCCATGTCCGTCCACTCACCCATTTCCGTCCACTCTTCTTCCATCCATGCCCACCACCCCATCCTTCTTTCTTGTCCCCTACTTTCCCATTCCCATTCCCTTTCCCTTTCCCTTTCCCTTCTGTTCTTCCGTCTTTCGCTTACTCTGCCATTCTCTTCCGTTTTTCCTTTACCTTTCCAGTCACTTCCGTCTTTCCCTTGCTTTCCCGTCATTCCCTTCCAGTTTCTTCCGTCCGTTGAAACGCGCTCGCTCACCAAGCTGTGGGCTGACTTAACGAGAACCCAAGAAACGAAGAAGCTTTTGGGGGGAAAAAGGCGAAGCATTTAGCTTGAGATTAAATTTTCAGACGCAACTGCTTGAGACAAACCACTTTGGGGTGCTGCTCAAGCAGGTTGTCGCATGGGCTGTGGTCGACCAGACCAGCTGTCGCAAAGAACGAACCCGCCAAAAAAATGCTAAAGTTGCTTAACGCTGAAGGTGAAGAAAACGCAACAAGCAGCAAAACCTGTTGCAGTCAAGTTGCCGTGACATCGGTACAGCTTCATGGTGTCGTTGACCCATGCCAAACGCTCCTGACACGGAGCCCGACAGCCCACTGGCGCTTTAGCGCAGCACTGGAAGTCAGTTTCAGCGTCCTCAGTGAACTGATCCCTGGAGTCAGCAATCCAACGATAGGCCTGCACTGTTTGACATGTGACGCTAACCAGAGCGCCATTTCTGCCCCTGGACATTGACCTGCCCCACAATGCTCAACATTCCTCATCATGTCTCAGTCCTGCATCAAAACAGCTGGGCCCAGGTAGTACTCTGGATTCCACCTTTGGAGGCACATGATTGACACTACATAGACCTCTAGAGCATAGGCAGGGAATTTATGGTGTCACAGTTCCCTTCCAAAATCTGAGACGTTGACCAGTAGGATGGGCAAGAGGTCATGCAGCAAGCGCACAGGATGCACTCGTACATCCCGTCAAGCTTGGCCCTGTCCTGACTTTGGAAATTGTGCAAGTAACCACTTTTGACTCTGATGATATGTGTCACACAAGATTAGGCAACATGATGCAAGTACGGTTATGATCGATTAAGTCCACGGCATGAATTACAGTAATTCCGCATCACATGCTATCAAGTATGCTGAGTCCTCGCGGCTCTGGAAATATTCCTGCGGTGACGGTGAGGCTCACAAAGCACCAGGTTCCGGGAGGTGAGCAGAATCAAAAGTGTGGGACTACATAATTACACACATAATTACACAAATGGTTACACACATTAATGTTGGATGGACAATAGTAAAGCGCGTGCAATAGCTACAAATAATTTTCAGAATCTGATTTTTCAGCCCCTATTGATTCTAAATTAGGCCTTATTGATTTTAAATTACAAACATCAACCTTGGTCCAGAGCATCTGCAATAAATGTGGTTCATTCGCAATAGCTACAAATAATTTTCAGAAAATTCCCAAATTATCAGATTTTCCAATACTAAATTGTAAAGGAACTAATTGAGATTTAGTATGGATGCAGGAAAAAAATCAGAACCAGTTACAGTTCAGCTGTATTTTTTCCCTTCTTCCTTAGTGGTTTTAATTGTCGCTGAATGGTTTTAAATTGTGATTGCATGTTTTTCAAAAGCAAAAACAAAGCAAACCTTTACCAAATCAAAAACTTTACCTTGTTCAAAAAAGCTGTTTTCTTTATTAAAATCCTTTTAAAAAATTGCAAAAAACAGGTCCACAAAGGGTACCCCCTTGCAGGTCCTTGCATTTGCAATTAAAAACTGGAATTAGCACTTGCAATAAGAAACAACCTTCCTGGCTCTAGCAGGCATTTTTTTCCCTTCTTCCTATCAGAATCCAATGAAGATCCCATCAGAGCCCATCAGAAAAGAGAGGATTTGTCAAAACCTTACAGAAACCTTTGGGGAAGAGTTGGGATTTTCGATTTACTATTGCGAAGCAGACCCCCCCCTAAAAAAAAAAAATAGGGGGGGGGACCCCCTTTACTATTGTCGATGTAACATTATTATACATATATATATATATATAATTACAATATAAAATATCATTTGTGTATATATATTTATGTGTGCGTGTGCTTACCTGTACAAAAAGCTACAAACATTTACCAGCGAGTAGATGCGAGGAGCAACTTCTTTAGGACAAACTATGTAAATTACTAAACAAACGTACGTATAATATAGAAAACCAAAACGAGGTTAGAAAGGGCAACAGCACCACCAGGCAGAGGCAAGCAAAGATGTTTCCTGACTCGAGTATTCTATGACTATGCTTCCAGGCAAAACTTGAATCAGCATCCTGTCCAGCAAGCAGATCAGTCACCCAAATTGCAACTGAGAAAAAAAACATAAGAAAACATGAGAAAACTATATGCAGGTCCAGGGACACCCTGAAACACTATGGACATCATGGATATCTGCACACGTGTGCATAAGCACGTCTCTTGCTTTGAAGAGCAAGAATCACAGAACTAAAAGGGGATCAAAACTCATTGGGTTACGCGAATTACTAAAAGAATTGCTCCGAATTACTCCTGATGGCTTGGCTTGAATGTCAAAAACATGACTTGAACCCGAACAGCCTTGAAAAAACAAAACTTCCTAAGTTTAAGATAGGATTGCAGCATACTGCAGCACCCTATCGAGAGCTTTTCCTTGGTAGGGTCCCAGGCTTGAATCCGTAACTTGTACCATTTGAGCCTCTGATCATTTTCACCTCATGGAGTTCGAGGAATCCAATCAGCAGATTCATGCTCTGCATGCTCTGCTTTTTCAGGAGATGGGTCACGTGGTATGGCCCAAAATGCGCGCCCAGTACCTCCCACGGAAGGACAGTGAGCACGCTGCTTCTGCAAACGGATCAGCTCGCGATCAGGAACTGGACTGAAATCAAACAGCTCAGATGGTCGTTCAGACATCTGATTCGAAGAGCTTGGCACAGGTATCACGGGTATGGGAAGTGTAATTGGAGAAACATGCACAGTTTCAGGTTCAGATGTGTGCTCAGTCTCCGGAACACTTGTCTTGGCCCGCTTCTCAGGCACATCTTCTGCTGCGTTGGCCGCACGTTTTGCGGATCTCCAACTTCCACGCTTTGGTGCTGGCTTCTTCTCAGAAACATCGCGCCCTTGCCCTGTGATCTCTCGAGGAAGGCTTCTTTGGGAGACGCTTTGAACCGGTTTCAGTTCTACCTCCATGCGGATAGGCCCAATATCAATGTAGCAGCCATCCTTTAGAGGGCACCACTCTGTCCCCAAACGCCTTCCATCATAATGAGTGCCATCTTCGTCTTGAACCAAGTCGCAAACTGAATACTGACCATTCACACAACTGATACGGCAGTGGGCAGCTGCAACTGGGTCTGTGTCATTCCAACACAAAGCAGCAATCTCTGGAACACAACGGCCCAATATTGCACCAGATGCAGGCACCCGCACAATTGCATGTTCCAAAGCAGATGCATATGGGGCCTCACAGCCCAATTTCTTTAAGGCCTCGACTTGGCGCACAAGAGCACCTTGTGCATCAACCCTGGGAGCACAGAAAGTTCGCACCACATAGGCCTGACCCGCTGGAGGAAGTGATAGCAACGCATCCAACGCTTTTCCCAACCGAAGTCTGTCGCAGAAATCAGCAGATGCCAAAGCAGCTCTTTGTGCTGCCCTGGCTCGACTGAGATGCAAAATGCAGAGCACGCTGCCAGAGCTTCCACTGCTGACCAAGCTGGCAGGATCTGTGGGTGGTAGTGGCAGAATTGTCCAAATCTCGGAGCTCAAATGTGGAGCACCAGCAGCCCAAATAGGTCGGCATTCACCTGAACCACGCAGATATTCGTACAAAACGCCGCGGGCCTGGTCCCAGCTGAAAAGCTGACCTGTTGGACTGTGAAGATAAAATCCCTTGAGAGTCTCTGCATCAACCTTCCAACAGTCTTTGGCATCAGCAAATGCACCGTCAATATCTTCCTCTTCAGAACCAGAAACGTCTTCGTCATCTTTTACAAAATCAGCATCTTCTGTACTTTTCTCCTCATGAAGGACATCCCCATCACAATCTGTTGAATTGCTCTCAGACTCGCCAGAGTCTACATCACGAAACATTGGAGTAAATTCATTGCCATGGCAGCTTTGCATGCGCACCATGACTCTCAAACTGTATTTGATAGCTGGCCCAACTCAGACTAAGAGAACAAACATCGCATCTCTTGCGGAACAGCAATATTGCGGATATGTGTAGATGTTTGCTAATGTATACATGCACACATGGACTTACCATTCCAGTAATTCTGAAAACTGTATATTGGTGTTTCACTTTATTGGTGGCCTCCCGTAGTTCACTTTCCCTATGAAACTAGGAAGTGGGCCTCTCTCATTCTGGATTTTGCTACTTTTTGCTGCTTGCATATTCTTGAAAATGAGCACAAATGTCGCGTTCATGCTCAACTTTGGCAAATGCACTGGCCAAGGAAGTGTTGGCATCCGCTGTGATCTTCCCAAAATGACCCAAACAA